AATGGAAACACAGAAAATCTGATAAGTGCCTTGGTCGAAAATGTATTGATATAATTAATATATTTTTGCAATTTCATAGGTAATTTATTTGAATTCCTAAAATATTAGTACACTTCCCATACCCTTTAATCATTATTTTTGAAACCTGAAACCTGAATGAAGATGAGCCATTACATCGACTTATTTTGGGGGGAAAGTATTTTCAATAATGTAGTTTTTCAATTTAATTAAATTATTAATGGCATTTTTAACGTATCTAAAATTTCCAACCGCAATACCATAGAAACAAGGAAAAGTGCACTCTGCACTAGAATATATTTGGTTTATTTGGTCGGAAACTTTTGTTCTTGAAGTAGAGATAACCAATTCGAACCGTCTGCTGTATTGATCAGGATAGCAGATAAGCAGAGATAACCCAAAAATGCATCAACTTTTTAATGATCAAATTTATGCATTTTCACGTAAATCGGCTTTTTTCTTTTTGTGTAACTAACTGCTGACTGCCGCAGACATCCATTATGTGTGTCGAACGAGCGGTGCAACAAAATGCGAAGAAAAATAAACAACAAAGTCACGAAATTGTTTATACAATAAATAAAGTGTGTGTGTGGAGCGCAGCGTCTGCGCCCGAACAGCAAAAGTATCTTAAAGATACAAACAAGCACGCATGCCGAACATGCCATCTCCCAGGACGTTGTGCATCGCCCAGATCCGAAGGCATTCTCTCAGATGCGCGTATCTCAACTTGCATGCGACTCGAATTACAAGCGGGCAAATGTTTAAATACTTGAGTGCCGAGCACGAGCATATTAACTTTTACTCAGCGTTCAGTGTTCGAAATTGTCAACACGACAATTCACTTAGATCTGCACTTCCTCCAGCCACCAGACAGTTTTCCCTTCAGCGGCAGATGCAGCCATGTCATTAGGAGCTGGTTCGCATCTCCCACAGATTTCTTGGCGCCGCGGGACAAACAGACGGGCTGAAGCTATGCGGGTTGCTGTCAAGTGTGGCAATGCCCAAAAGTTGCCCAATTCCCGTTTTGTTCAGCTGAATTCTGCACTTGTGTTGCCAAAACTTACTTTTATCTGCGAGGGCTGCAAACTATCTTGGACGATTTCAACTTTGTCGCAAGATATACATCTGGTATTGCATACTCTTACGTTTAGATACCATAAAATACGACTTTTTAGATAATATTTATGTGAAAGAGAAGAATTGGATTCAATTGGTAGAACATTATTCACAAGTTCTTAGTCATATAAATACTTGAATTTTGAGTAATATAATTTCCTTTCAGGTGTACGTTAGATGGATGCAAGTTAATAAATTAATTTTTATTTTATAATAAAATAATCCTTAATCTTAACTTTTCCAAACAGTAATTATACACGTTACTAACAAAGTAAAATGGTATTCGTTGAACAGTCTGTAATACCGTGTAAGCGTGAAGCTTGTTGGTCCCCAAAATGTGTATATATTCTCGATCAGGACCAAAAAAGAGAGGAAACAGAGGTGTATTTGTGCAAACATAATGCAAGGGGTTGCTCATACTACACCGTCTACTCCCTGTGTTAACCTACAAACTGCCCCTGATGTATCCAAGCTGCAAATAGATCTTATTCTGCACATTGTCGAGGAGGAGATAATTAGTCAGAACTATTTGGTATATTGGAATGTTGTTTCGACAACGCAACTGAGGACTGATTTTGGCCTTACTTCTCCAAGAACATTCACAATCACTTCATCTAGCGATGTATTAATCTGTAAGATATGTCTTTGTTTGGTATGTTTGCTCCAAGTGTGTTGTTTAGCTGCTAATACGTACATATGGATGGATTCCACGCCTATTAACACATTTATTAATTTATTTAAGGCCAACAATGGGTTAAAACTAAGAGCTAACATTTGGCTAGGGCTTTTTAAAACCTAATTAACAAAAGTATGAACAAAGGTTTTGAAGGATAATGGTTATTCTAAAATGAAATGTATACTTTTGGGTAAAATACAAATAAAAGTCAATTTTATTTTTAATCATCTCAGCGTTAAAGCAGGCTATGGACTTCTACGAATGGTTCGTGCACTCGCTAGCTCCAGGAAATGAAGTCGATCGTGATTTTTCCGCTGAGGGCGGAATTTTACATAATTTTATAATAATATCATAGTAATTCAGTTGCTTTTAAGTCTATTTAGTTTTATTTGTCATATCCTTTAAGTTGAAATTTCAATTTGAAATCAAGTAGTCAAATGAGATGATATAGATGATTTAATATTGTTTAATATGCTTTTATGAGGAGCAGACTTGATCACCAAAATTAGGTCATTCAAGTCTTTGTGTTAAATAGGAAACCATCTTTAATTCAAGATCCATTTTGATAATGTCTAAAAGTATGTGTAATTTATTTCCTTCAAAAGCACTGTTCATATTTTTAAAACTAAGCTTAAAACTATATTACGCCCAAGAGTATGCTGCACTTTTCTTACACTGTCAGATATGAACTGAACTTATAATATTGCATACTTTTGCATCTACATAAATTACATATTCTAATGATACCGAATAGGTATTACCGATTAAAAAATAATATTTATAATCGGCCGGCTAACTGATTAAGCAAAGCGCTCGCCCGAAGAAAACGAGAGTAAGTGGTTTCTTGGAAAATCTGGACACAGACGCTAGTTCTAATTACTCTCTGTGGCATATCACAAAACGATATAAGGCTCAGCCCACCCTAAAATCAAACATTAGAAACCCTTCAGGCGGCTGGTGGCGTACTACCCAAAAAAATGCTAAAGCTTTCCCAAGCAGCCTTAAGCAACTCTTCAAGCCGTACGACTATTCCCCTGAAAGCATACATCGACAAGTTAAAGAGTTTCTGGAATCCCCGTCACTTTGACAGGGGTGAAAGACTTTATTTATCACCGAAGAAAACTCCAGGTGAACCCTTCTGGGCAACATGACAATTCGACTATTACCGAATCAAACCTGGTGTCGGTATTCAACAGCGTTCAAACTGTTGAATACATCCCGAAAGTTTGGAAATTGGCGAATATACTCCTATTCCAAAACCTGGAAAATTGCTCTTGATCTTATGCTTCCCCTGGGAATAATCATTGAAAGGCTGATCCTGAACATATTTACAATAATCTCACCTGTGCGATCTTTTTGGAAGAACGCTCTTTCCACGTATCTGCTGATGGATACAAGTCGTCGAAAACATTTCGAAGGATCTCGGGAGCTCCATGATTTATCCGAAACAGAGACTTTAAACGTGATCTCAACGTACTCAAATGTAATGTAATACATATATATTTTAAGGCAATTAAGCATCATTTTCCAGGTCATTTTAATTGGTCAAAAAATGAACTAAGTGTTAAATGTTAAATGTAGGAAAACTCGGTAATAAAAACAATATATTTGTCGGGACTCGGGAGCAGTAATCTAGCTAATACCAAAACCAAGGCTTACAATTTGTTCAGCATCACTGTATGCTGAATTATCTTCTTTATCTGTAAGAGAAGCCGAGATAAGCGCTGGCGAGTCGACGATCGCCCCCTAACATTCGTTCTTAACCGCTGTAGAAACGCAGTCGCAGCGCTGCGCAAATGAAACATAGAAAACCACTCTTTCGGCCTTTTCTTTTCACCGTTCATAGCACCGCTTTTTTTCGTGCAATTAAAAATTGTAAAATATCTAGGAACAGGTGGCATAAATTATTGCCCTCCTCCTAAAACTAAGACCATTTTAATTTTTAAAAATCATAACATTTTATTTTTAGGAAAAGACATTTCGGAGTTTTTTCCGAGTATGTCTTTAGAGTTTTTAACCAAAACTCAACGAAGGAATTCTAATTGAAACCAAATAACCAGAGCCACCAGAACAGACTTGCCACCGACGAGAACCAGCGCTGCCACATAACTGTGCACTGGGTACAGTGAACTTATCCGTAACCGTCAGCACTGAGTTATCCACTCCGATTTATCCATTCAAGAAAATTCATCTTACCACAACGCCATCTATGTTAGAATCCGTAAAACTATGAATAAAACCAAATAGCCGCCCTTATTATTTTGTACTTAACCGCCATCTATGGCTCAGTCGTAACATATATTTATATTTTTATATTTTCTTGTTATTTTCCAAACAAACGTGCCAAAACAACGTTATTATTATTTTGGCTTGGATGTGTTCAGTATAAATTATTAATAATTTTATGCTATATAGTTTTACCCAAACCATTCATAAACTTATTATTAAATATTATATTAGATAAGAAAACTATTCAAATGCATACTGAAATAGTAAATAATATTTTGTGTTAATTTAACACTGTTAAGTTTATTTCATTTTTCGTAATATGTAAATATTTTTCTTCTATTTGTCAGCTTATAAAAGTCTTAGAAACTCTTCTATCAACTGAAACTAAAATATAAGTGTTTAAAATTCATGAATATAAGAAACTAAAGAGACACCTATTGGCTCTTAGGTAATTTGTATAAGCTGACTTCATCCTCAATTCAAGACACAGCATAGTTAAGACAAGAACCGCAACCAAGGGTTGCCACATCACATCAACTAAAACATCTGTTAAGGTTTCAGATCCAAGAGCTAGATGGTGCAAAATTCAGGCCAAAGGTTTTACAATTCTGCGAAAGCAACAGAATTGAATCGTGACAAAAATTGTTTTGAGCAGAATTCGAATTTCTGAATTAAGATAGAATTAAAAGGAAATCCGGCATTTGAAATAAAATAAACTAGTTAATTAACAATAAAATCATTTTGTTATTTTAGAAACCTAAATAAATTTATGACTACAAACGAAATTCTTTTTGAGTCAAAGAATAATCAAGATGGAGAATTTCGAGTGGCTGAAATTCGAATTTGTGTCCTCCGTCCTACGACTGGGTTTTACTACAACTAACATCATCCCTTGAAATGGTTTCCGATCATCCCCTAAAACAAAGAGTTGCCTCCGCTGCCTATCAGTTAAACAAACACATTTACACCACATACAATTTAATACTTGGTTCATAGCATTAGAGAGTAATTTACAGTTAAATAAATCTTAGCTAGGACTAACGAACTAGGGTCTATAATAGGTAAGCCTAATCCACGTAGAATTGCTCGATAGGAACGTTCTTCAGCAGCTGGTTGGCGAGTTTTCCGAACTCACTTGCCAACTTCTTCTGCAGCTGAGCCTGCATGGCCTCCAAAACGATTTGAGAGTTTTCACGTAAGAAGAGATTAGTGGCTTCCACTGAAGAACAAAGGGGAATGTCATCATTATGAGTATTATTGTTAGACTGAGGGGTGACTTACGTAGAATTCGATTGTTGTTGAAGGCACCCGAGATGCTCATCTTAACATCCTTCACATCCAGGACCAAGCTGAGAGCATCGATGTGCAGATAGTTTCCGCCCTTAGCCGCATGTGTCGATGTCTTTCCTGTGAGATCGGCACTCACACCCTCGAAGTTGGCGTGGAAGTCTCCTCCTCCGGAGGCTGGCAGGATTAGAAGAACTCCGGAGCTCGTGTACTTGGCTTCGATCTTCAGCTTGGGCATCACTATTTTCGCTTTGAAGGGCTCGCTGCCCTCGCTCAGTTTCAGGGACTTGACCTGGAAGTTGCTCGCCCCGAATGCCTCCATGTTCTTCAGCGTGATCTTATATCCCTGGGGACCTTCGGTGAGCTGCAGGGCCAGAGTGTCCATCTTGAAGGGCTCCACAGAGGGCAGCTGAGAAAAAGAGAATTGATATTATTCAACCGTTTGATCTTTGCTTCAACTCATAACACTAAACACTCTAACTAGGAAATCCAAACAAGTAATGCTGACTAGCTAATACTCATCTACTACAGAAACTTTCTATACCTGGTGATATTTCCAGTTTTTTCTACAAAAACAGAAGTCGAATTAGTAGCAACGAGAAAGAAAAACAAAACAAATTGTAGGGTTTCTACGGATTTCAAATATTAAATTTAATTTAGAACTCTTGACTGATTTTGAATGCATGGAATATAAAACTGATTAAAACGCAAGTGCCCGAAATGACCTTCAAACGGAAATTGCTCCACTGTGCGCGGAGTAAGCCTCACCAATCCCTCCCCTTTTCAACGCTAAAACACTCATTATGCAAGTGCGAAAGTCCCAGTGACTTTCATTTGCTTGTTACGCAACTAAAAACTCGTTTTCAAAGAAAATGATTCGGATAAAGACTAACGCTAAGTGCAATACCTAATGAACTGCAGGGAAAAGTCACTCACCTGGATGTCGGGAATGCCATTGGCCAGGTACGGCTTCAGGTGCTCAATAGCTCCAATGAAACAGTCCACCAGCTTTGGGTCGTTCCTATGGCATTGCTTGATATACGCGGCTGTGGAGAGAATCGAAGAGCAATTAGAATGGTGTTATTGTTAATATTACAAATAGATATGGTGTATTAAATATGAATAAAAAATAAAATAACATTAGCTTTGCCTGTTAGTCCTAATATAAAATCTGCCCATTTTGCTTGATTTGTTGATGTTTTTCAGTTCAGTCGGAAGAAAACACTGAGAAGTGTCAACAAAATCGAAAATCAACATCAACACCGCCGCTTTAATTCCTGTAAAGTTCATCGACTCTGCAGATGGGCTCAGAGAAAACAAGCGCGAAGCCACAGCGGCCTCCAAACGGATCGAGATCAAAATCAAGATCTTGATTCGGATTCGGTTTCGGTTTCAGTTCAGTTTCGATGGCAAGGTTGCCAAGAAGTGCACCTCTAGAACCTGTTGGAGCCGCGATTCTGGGGCACATGACACACATTCGTGGCTAGAGCCGGCCATAAGGTTATAGCTGGTTTATCATTAACGTTACCATTAAGCTGGGCAATTTCATTAGCGCCATTCGACGACAAGGCGAGCTGCAGCGGGAGCGATTAAAATTTCAAGTTGAAGGCCGCCAACGGCCACGGCTCGCGTTAATTAAGTATGGATTTGGTTCATAGTCTGCATTTTGAGAGCCTACATTTGTGTGTTTGGCATTTCGAGTGCGATGGCGATGCGGAAGCGAAGAAAAGCCGGCCTTTTGTCCCCCTTTGTTATTTTTGTTTTGTTACGCTCATTTTTCAAACAAAACTGTGTCGCCTCACTCACTTAACACCTTGATAAGTGGCTAGATTTGGGCAACTGCTGGTAAACTTGACATTTGACATATTCCAGGAGATGCGATTGCATTCTTCGTACACACCAGGTGTGAAAAGCAAACGAAAGTGCTAATTACACTTTGTAGAATCTGCTCGGACTCCGTGGGGTAGTTTCCAACTCGAAATCTGAACACTCTTACAATTTGTGTTTACTTAACGCCTTTCATTACTATTAGAGGGTAACTCCAACGTAGTAAGTTGTAAAATACGTTTTAGTATCTTTCTAGACATTTTTCGAAAGGGTGTAAGGCAAAGTGGCAAAGTTCGTCACTGGCCATAAAGTTGAGTTAAATTTTAACAAAAACAAACAGTTGGGAAATGACACACTTTGCTCCGTTATTTATCATTTCCCATTGTAAATTATCTTTGCAAGTATATTTTTTTATAATATTTTCCAAATAATATAGTATTAACTTTTTCGCTAGATTTATTTATCTGTTTAATTATAGTTTTCTAAATGGTATTTATCACACCTCCTGTCCGTGATATGAAAGGTTAGATGCTTAATTTTGTAATATTACTTAACTAAAAAGTCGAATGGAGAGGAAACTTGGTTAGGAAGAAGGTTCTTCATACTTAGTATTGGATCTTGATCAATATCTATGCACCTACGCTGCTATAAAAGTCACACGAAAAAGGTTGATGAGGCGCACATCATCCGATTCAAGATACTAAGTACTTTACGAGTAATAATTCTCATTACTTTATAAGCCATATAATCCCAACTTACGGGTCTCAGCCTGCACTATCCACAGCGCTTGGATCACGATTACTAGGCACACGGACTTAATCATTTTGTGTAGAAAAGACACTCAAGAACGATTTGTAAGATCTAAGACTAATCTGCAGCAACACGCAACGGAGTCGGAACTTATGAAGTTGAAAAGTATTTGCGAGTGGACTGGTCGAACGTCCGTCGACGCGAAGCTGAGAACTTAAACTGCGAGCTGGTCGCCGGTCGATCGCCGATTTTAAAGCTGCAGATCGCAGCGGAAAATAAAACGAGATGCAAACCAAGCCAAGCTCAATCCCGACGTCGTCGTCGATCTGGGCATGTCACCATGGCTTGGGCTTAGTAACTGAGTGACTGAGTGACCGAGTGCGGAGCCTCTCCTCTTGACTTCGCCGGCTTCTGCGCAAGATTTTGGCTTGTTTGCCCATTTGCCAAGTACCATAAAAGGCAATTAGGCAATTCTATTTTCGCAATCGCCTGCCTGCAGGGGCTCAGAGTTACAAGCCGACGCTTAGGGCATCACAATCACCTGATAAACCTTACACATATAGGGTTAGCCTTCTGCCGACCAACCACAAAGGAACCCTGAGCGTGGTTAGCGAAAGAAATTAATAAAATAAATACAATGAACAACTTCTAATTACTCATAAACAGAAACAATCTTTAATCTAAGCTTAACAGAGACAAAGACAAATAAAACACCCGCGGAACTAGCTTGGAAGACAGCACTTTGAGCCTCATAAAATTGTGGATTCCTTTTATTCTAGGAACCTTGGGACGAATAGAATATAAGTCTGCTTAAAACCGTAACAAGGCAAGCTGGCCGAGTAAGCCACTTTACCTGAACTCGTGAAAATGTCTCCGCCTCTAATTAAAGTGTGTGAGACGCTTTAATTGTCCATTAGAGTGAGATAATAGATGTGTGCTTATAAGGCTGCTCGGAACCACCTAGCCCTGACTTTTCGGATACTCTATCTTGCGAATGGCACAGAACTCAAAGTTCTTGTTTTGAAATGAGTTCGATTTAGGAAAATAAATGAAATTGTAATTAATTAATAAATTAAAAGACTTGAACACTTGATCGTTTATTGTGGTGAGTTGTTTCTTAAAACATTTCTGTCATTCAGAAGCTTCCTTGGTAAAATGTTTCATTTTATTAATAATTATTCAAATTTGTCATTCACATTTCTTGTGTTCAAGACTGTTTAGATTATTTGATGAAATATTTTTTGTAGAACTATTATGCAAAGGGGACCTTTGTACTTTTCCATTCCTGTTTCCACAGCATAAATACTAATTAACACAGCTGCTGACTCAGCTTGCAACTATCTCTTCGATTGTTCGCTTGTTTACCTATTAGCAGGGAATTAAAACTACAATGTCGAACTAGACAACTGAAAATACTTTTACTTGCTGTTCATCGGAATACTCTCATCACTCCCAAAATGAATTATTCATGGACTGAACGGGTACCAGCATAGCTCTACTAGAATCCTGATTTACCTGTCTGAATGGGATTCTATAACTGCTAGAGAGCCACGCAGACAGCAACCAGCCAAATCATGTGCGAATTATATAAATGTCAGAACAGAGAACAGAGATTAGCTCCCAGTTTTGATATTGCACATCAGAAGACAAAGCCAGTGAAGTGTAGATGAACATCGAATGAACGTCCGAGTTCGTTGATATTTTTTCTCTCTGTGTCGGTAATCTCCAGACTATTTTGCGGGGAAACCAGGCACTTAGTTGGCCCATACTTTGTACTGTGATCGCCTCGTACTGAACTCTTAAACTATTTACAATGGCCCTGAACACAGACAAATAGAGTTGTGGGACGTATCGAGGAACTCGATGGGAAGTCTTATTTGTCATACAAAGGCCTCTACGCCGATTCTAAAGCCCGTTGTCTCGTCTAGCACAATACGGTCGAATGTGGTTATAAATACATCTCATAATGTGTATCTGAATCTATTCAAAGACGACTGAGAATAATGACAAGCGCGCAGTGAAATGCGAAAAGGAGGAAGAAAAACATCTTTCAAATCTTGTTTTTGTTCTCAGCAATTCCCACCTGAGTTTGTTATTATATTAGAAGTGCTGTTAATTACCTAAGTGACTAAGCACACGTGAGAGAGTCCAAAGGTGGGCAGATGAAATGTCACCAAAATTATGGTAAATTCCATTAAAGAATCCATCAACAGAGAAACTTAAAGCAAAAAACTTATTTATTGAGGAATAAAATTAGCACAACTTATTGGCAAACCAGTTGGGCGAGACACTTTTCCAGATCTGATTCAGAATCACTTTCAATTCGCACTTAATTACGGGGTGTTCGGGCTTCGGCTTCCTTGTGACCCAGAAACGAGTCATTCAACCGATGAGCCTAAAGGGACGGGACTCTCGGTTTCATTCACAGTCCACTGGATTTTCAGTTGACGCTGACCCAGTCACCATCCAATCCACCTTGACCTTGAGCGCGGCTCTCCACACGCAGCCCCCTGCAGTCGGGCAAAATGGGGCCTTCTGATTTGCATATACTCTTTTTTCTTGGTGCTTTTAGTTTCAGGTGAACACTTCTTATTTCTTAGATACCCTTTTGCAGCGACTGCCCGACCTTATCTATCTATTAACGTATTTCATAAAAAAGTGTCTTGTGAACTTTACGCCAAACTCACTTTGATGGTGAAGGATTGCTTAAGAACTACTCTCTTAAATTGAGTTAGCGGTAGCTGTAATGCTAATGCTGGTAAAAAATAATTAAAGAAATCGAATTAATATTAATAAGTCCGGTAAAAAGATCATTAAAACATAACATGAAGAAAATCGGAAATGTATATAAGTTAAATTAAGTTAATAATTAATTAATATTTATAAATACTTTTATTTAATTTTCAAAAGCTCCATACTAATATCGTATTTTAATTATTATTAATAAAAACAAAGGAGAATATTTGTTTTAGCTTAAACAATAACACCTTAAATTTTATGTATTAGTAGGACTTAGCATTTATATGGCAAATATATTAGAATTTCCGGTAATAATAATGCTTAATTTAATAATTTAATAAGATGTATTATCAAATTTTTTAAAGGCTAGTTAACTTAAAGTTGGCAAAAAAATATTTTAATACACAACTTAAATCTTTTCCACAAAACAAGTAAAATGTAAAATAAAATGTATATTTACAAACGTTACGACCGTTGCCTCAGTAATGCATAATTTTAGGCGCAGTGCTCACAGTGAAGGCCCAAAAAGTGTCACATCTAAATTCAGGAGTTGATGACTTAATAGAATTGGTTACACATTTATATCTACTTACTTTTAAATTTTGTTTTTCGCAAAGAGAATATTGACTGAATAATTTGACACAGTTGGAAAGTGTAAAATGCGATAAAATGTGTTCATGTCAACTAAGCTCCGTTCATATGTAAGTATGAAGTAATAAAATAGTTGTAAAATGTAAAATTTCGATTAAATATATTTCATTTTTATTTCAGTTTTAATAATAATAATTTAATAAAATTAATAAATAAAGTTAAATAAAAAAAGATCATTAACTTTTCAATGCTTTTAACAAACTCGTAAGATCTCTTCAAGTCAATCACGAATCACGAGGCACTTCCACCTCAAATTTACAATTTAAATGCAAAACGGACAATGGTCAATAATCGAAATTATTCCCGACAGTCCATAAAGTTCTCTGAAAAGTTTTGAAAGACAATTGCATTTCATGCGAGGGCTTGTCTCCATATCATCAAGACTTCCACTGGCTGAGGCCGAGCAAGTAAACATTTCTGATTTATTAGGGTTAACACACTCTCTGGCTGGTTCACGTTCTCTGTACGTACTGTGCTGTACGGCTGTATGGATAATGAGGGCCCATTACCGCACCCGGCACTTGGAAAGCTCTTGGTTCTAATCGCACGGCTTGACCTTTTGGCCACAAGTGGGACTGCTGCCCGCCCACAAAAGGGCTGAAAGGAAGAACAAGAACAAATGGTGGAAATCAAGCGAGAGCACGGTTCTGCGGCTAATCCCGGCTTGAGGGATCGCTAATGATGCCAAGCCGTTCGGATGATTCATGAAAGCCTCATTACCAAGCTACAATCGAGGCTGTGGGAGGTTGGGCTCCGAGTCAGAGACCCTTTAAACTTAACCTTCAGGCCCGGCGAAATTGCAACTGTACACAGATAAAAAATAGTATGACTGGGAGTTCAATAATTCATATAAAATTTGTATTAACAAAACTAATAAATGCTGCCGAATACCTAAGAAATCTGCCAGTCATTAAGTCTGGAACACAATACCGCACCTTCAACTCTTTCCCTGAGTACTAACAATATATCTGGAAACTTTTGTTAAAGGTTCTATAAAATATTTGTAATTTAAAATTCAAAAGTGGCATTTTTTCTTACCGTACAGCGATGATAACGCCGACGACCTGTCTACTGCGCCCGATTTCTGGGGTGTGGCAAAAAGGTCTTTTGTTCGGCTTTTCCTTCGCCAGCTCTTTCGCTGCATTTTCGACGGCGCTTTCGAGCCGACTTCTTGTTGGTTAAAATGGCTTGGACCAACGCAGTTCGAGCTCATTCCTCAGTCGAGTCGCGAGAAAGTTGGACGTAGAGTAAGCGCAGCCGAAGAAAGCAGAAGACGGTACACAGAAGACAATCCGATTCTTTATTCAAGAACAAACAGTGAACTGGTTGGGACTGGCTCTTTGACCCACTTCCAGCCCCAAACGAAAGAATTTCCGCTCCAAAGTGAAACCCATTCGGATTTCGGATTTCGTATTTCGGCATTTTAAATTCTTTCCTGGCCTTTTCACTTTCGCTCGTAAAGAGCAGCCCCAGCAACGTCATCTAGCAAAAATTAACATACCTATATCCATAACCCGAATAGAGTGGCCGAAACGTGCTAATCAATTACGAAACTAACAAAAAGTGAAACACAGCGACCGTCTATAATTCCCAATACTTGTACTTTCATGCAGACGAACCTAAAAATGTGCCGCCAGATTGGATTCATTTTGCTCATCACCGTGCTGGGCACCACCTTTGCCCAGGAGCAGCGTAAGTACTGCCCAAAATACTCATCCAGTAGTACATATTAGGACGCGCTTTCTAAGTTACATCAATCGCGGCACCGACTTTCCAGCCGGTCCTTAGACACGTCCACTGACCAACTTGGCCTAATTGGCCTATGGATTTGGCACTGATTAATTGCCCACCCCAAAGACGTGCCTTGGCAACATCGGAAGTGGGCTTATGCCAATTCTGGTCAAGTGGTTTCCAGAATAGCAGTCGATGGCCACAATAACCTAGGTTAATAGTTCAAGCTCTGTCATTCTCTGCTGATCTGGGCTTAGTTTATTACTTTGCTTACGAGCCACTTAAGACTTGTATTATAAATGTGTTCAAAAGATCCGACTTTAAATCCGCTTCGGATTTCAATCGTAACAATTAAATTAAGAGGCACTCAAGATATCGCTCTCAAGCACTAAGAACTTACTCAACAGTGTTTACCATAAAAAAATGATGGTTTAGAGTTAGAATGCAATCATAACGATCCATTGTGTAACCCTCCCCGGAACCCTGGCTACTTATAGTTTTTCACACATATCCTCCCCGCCGTAACTACGTTAATTAACCCGGCAATAAACCTGTCACCAGCTCTGTCCCATCCCAGCGAGTCATAGTTCAGGCCGAACATGTTCACAGCGATCGCTGTGGGATCGGCGAGGTAATTGTGAACTTGAACCCCGTCGACTGACGCGTTCACCTGGGAATCGCAACTCATGTGAGGAAAGCGAATCTTCATTTTCATTGTGAGCCGCGTTGATTAATTCAGATAATTCGGAGAGACAATGCCATCCATGAATAGGCAAAACATGACATTTACAGACCATGCATGCATTATTATCCATTGTCTCAGCCCGCCAATTCTCCTCTCCAGCCTACTACCTTCAACAGTGTCCCCGGGATGAGGCCCAGATCAACGAGTGTCTTCGCGAGAGTGGCAACAAGCTGGTCCACTACCTCCAGAAGGGAGTGCCGGAGCTGGACATCTATGAGGTAAGAAGATACTAAAAAACGAAGAAAGGTTAATAGTAAATGAGCATTACAGCTGAACTTTCATTACTTAAATCCCCACTTCAGAAATAGATTTATTGTGCTTACACTCCCGTTTGATTTCACCAATGTTTCGTATTGAGATTTTAATTTTAAGATATAGATTGTTTTGCTCAGTGTAGGAAGTCAAAGAGTGACTTTGAACTTGTCGAAACTAGCTAAAACATCTTTTCTGCATTCCGTGCCATAAAATATACCAGTTTTCCACTATCTAAATCCATATTAAATAAAGTACTCTTCTTACAGATCGAACCCGTGATGATTGATGAGATCGGCATTGTCCTGGGCAGTGGTCCGGATGGCTACCGCGCTCTTTTCCGGAATATTCAAGCCTATGGAGTTAGCAACATTACGGTCACAAATATCCGGTAAGTTCCGAACATCTTTTAGAAACTTAAATTAGTATAAATATTGGCATAATGCTTCAGGAACCAGGTTCTCCACTTGAAGTCCCACTATATTTTGAGGCACAGACTAAATTTTAGCTCAACATTTTGAATATGCTATTTATTAAAATAAGTTTTAAGTAATTTCAATATCCATCCATCAAGATATACTAATTAACATTTTACTTTAACTATGACTTGAAAAGATGCATTTTTTCAGTAAAATGTTTGTACATTATTGGTATCATTGTAGGCCCTGCTTTAATCAGTTTTAATGGCGAGGTCCCCTTTCCACAATTTTTAATAATTTCTATTTCTTTGCATTCCTTTATCCCAGAGACTTCAAAGCAAAATACCTGCGAAAAACAGCAATTATGGCGGAACTTTACATATTTTAAATTTATACGAGGATGATCGAATTTTTAGATTATACATTTTATATTCTCTCATCCCTAGCTTAATTGATTTTGAAATAGTCATAGATGCACATCTTGGTCTTTATTACCCAAGTACGCCTCATATAAACGTCCAAGCTTCCATCGATATTCTAAGCCATTGGCTAGCGAGTCAATCAGTCAGATAGCCACTCAATCAGTGTCTCCCAACACGCGATCCCCACTTTGCATTTGGTCAACATTGTGGGAGCTCACTTGAATGAGCGCAGTTTCCAATCGTTTGGCGGGGTTCGCCGAGGTCCGAGAACGCCTCATAGCTCATACTCGTAGTCTTGATTTATGGGCGAAACGTTTGGCACACGATGGGAAATCGATTGAGCAATAACCGATTTGCATTTCAATGGTTCTTAAACTCTTACTTGAACGTTTTATGTTTGCCCAGATCGATTTGCATTCGCGCGGGTATTTCATTTCTATACATTTTCGATGCGTAATTATCCGCGACAAGGTGTTTGCCCATTCTGGTTGGTTCCAGTTCCCCATATTCCGCGGTGGACTGGGGGACAGGGAACCCAAAGCCATGGTGTACCTGGAAAGTGTCAGATCTATCAATAGATGTACATTTTTCACTGGAAGCTAATTTCAATGTTAATTGGCGTTTAATTCAGTTTAATGGGGAGTTTTGCGAAGCGGGGAAATCAGTCCACAATAGGCCCTGGGAAATTAAAAGATGACAAATCATCTTCCCTCAAATCTTTGGAAAAATGCAAATCAATTTACTTCTCTATATGAAAACCTCAACCTAAGTTGAGAAACTATTTATAAAATATTAGCCGAACCTAATCAGGTAAAACCAAATTTTGGATTCCTAAAATGAGAGCCAATTTCCTTTAATACCTCTCTTAAAATTGTTTCGTATTTACAAGTTTTTTTTAAATATCAACCACATATAAATGTGACATAGAAGAGCTAATTTTTTTCTATTTAACCCAAAAAAATTACCGGTATTAATAAAAGCCACCGCTCTATTATTTTCGTAATTCAATGTTGCTTTTTATTGCTCAAACTGTATCTCAAAAGTAATTCAAGTAACCATTATCCGTTCCACCTTTCCTCAATTAAAAGAAGCCACTACAGCTAGCAGCTGACCCACTCTCCTAGACGGCCTCCGATTTTGTACAGGTCTCGGATTATGCAACACCCAAAGCCAAGAACACTTTTAGCTTAGCTTTCCGGTATTTGGAACGACAGCCCGAGCAACAATAGCAGTGCCAACACGGCGAGCCACCGACCATCAATTTGGCCATAGGCACTTGGCGCTCAATTGGCTAGAAATAAAAGATCCCAATTGGCGGAGACATAAACACCACACAGGTACTGCCGACTGGCCAACAGATCGTTGACCAAGAAACGAGCCAGATAAGTGTGCCAACGCTAAATTCTCTAAGTGGAGAGCAGTCTTTGGGGCCGGTTCCAACATCGGTTTCGGTTTCTGTGGCACTCTACCCTGGCAAAGGGTACTCAAAAGACTTCCTGCACTTGGCCAGGCATACCAAAACCAATATAAAACGAGTGCAATCAGGGTTTCAGGAACATATACTTTAAGCTTATTGCAATTGCGAAACTTGAAAACCAAACTTGACAACGCAACTGCAAGGGTATTCAGAATCTGGGGTTCTATTCATTAGTTCTTGTATTGAGTTCGGTTATCCAAAAGTCCCATGAAGGCCTACTAGTCGTAACCGTTCTCTTTGATATCCAAATTCAGACTTAAGAGAGCCCAAGGCTGGAAAGATACGACAAAATCGTCGGCTCATCTTCGCATGAAACGAATGAAATTGCAGTTTTTCGCTAAGCTCATTACTTCGCAGATTGTCACTGTCATTGCCATTAGAGGCGCCCATTAATATCCATATCTCAACGTATCTGCCTTGCAGCTCCGACTTGGACACGCTGCAGTTCCAGCTGACGTGCGAGATACCCCGCATTCGCGTCAAGGCTCAGTACCGATCCACAGGTGTTCTGATCTTGGTGAAGGCCTCCGGAGCTGGCGACTACTGGGGGGAGTATGGTGGGTACCGGGCTTCTGGGCTGGGATGACGCACCACTAATGATTCTTGATCACGCAGAGGGTGTGAAGGCCAAGATCTACTTCAAGGCGCTGCCGAACGAGGGACCCGATGGACGCACCTACCTGACGACGGACTCCGTCAAGATGGACTTCAATGTGAAGGAGATCCAAATGGGAGTGGATAATATTGCCAATGGCAATTCGGTCATACGTAAGTAGTTTCTTAAAGTAACAAAATGGGTTGGTAGTTGAACTTCACTTTTTTATACTTAACTCCTAACAGAGGCTGCCCTCAACCTGTTCATCAACTCGAACTCCCAGGAGCTGCTCAAGGAGATGAAGCCTGCGCTCAGAACCAAACTCACCCTGGTCATTCGCAACTTCATGGATCGTATCTTCGCCAAGATCCCGCTGGACGAGTGGATCAACCTGAATTAGAATGTAGTTCCCCTAGCCTAAGTCCTAATTTATTGCACACAGTTCAAGCTAAATAAACCAAGTAAAGACAACCTAGAACGGCTCTTACCCAAAAGGGTGCTGCGTAACCCAGGGTTACTATATCATCATCGCCATTCAGCCCATCAGAGTGGCATTAGGCAACTGGAATCGGAGTTATAATTAGAGGCACGTTAGCAGCCCCAGCTTGTTCATGTTTGTCACGCTAATTCAAGGTCTTTGCTGAATGAATGAGAAATATGGGGAAGGGTTCGCAAATAACAGGAGATGGATAGGCCGGTTTATTTCGAGATTACAAAACTCTATAGTATGAGGTTTGATCCGCTTTCGTAATATTTTATTAAATTAGAGTTTCAAAAGCCTGAATTAACTTAGAGGTACACTGAATGGCAAACCAACAGTTTGTTTGACTCGGGAAATCTTCTATATTCCTCAAAAGTTTCTCGAATAAACGAGCTAAACTGGGATATCCGTCAAAATTCCATTTAACGACTACCATTGCTCACTAAAATCCAAAAATCTGACAATTTAAGTCCCCTTGACCAATGGGAAGCTTACCACATCCGATTGAATAATGAACTATGAATGAGCAACAAGCATCTCGGATCTTATCTTACCTAATGCATCAAACTCTGGGATGAGGCCAGGAAAATGATCTTTGGCTGCCTCCCGAATTGCGTGCACTTGAACAATTTTCCACCACAATCAGCCTCCGCATCGAACCATGTCATAGGCAAATAGCTACAGCTATCCTCACAGACCTCAAGTCGGGGAAAGCTTTTCGCCAGGGGATCGCTATTATGCAATCCACGCGGCACAATTTTCAGAGTTAACAGATTGTCAACACACGACTCCCAATCAAAGATGTTCGCTGGCGTAATTACGACGGGCACGACAGCGTCTAGAACGATCTCCTGGCCCCGTGCCCCTTGACTTTGGTGCGGAGCTTAACTACCCAGCGTTGTGACCCCTCACTAACTGCGATCTCCACACTCGGAAGAATATAACCTTTTTAGTTTTGATAATATAATATTCTAGGTCTCAAAAACGTACTGTTTTTTATTCATATTCACTTCGTCAATTGTTAGCTTTTATGATTGTGTATAGAAAATGAGGTGTCTTAGTACCAGATTGGAATTATAATAGTTAAATGATAGTTTTAATTTACGATGATGGTATGTTACACGATGTTTTAAAAATTAACATTGATTGCGGCTAATTAAGCCGTTAAAACTAAATGTTAAAATGTTAAATGTTGGTGTATGTTAACTACTGGAACTAAACTGTGCCTAATTGGGTATCTTTATTTATTTATTTATTTATGTCGCTGAAACTACAAAAAGAGGTTAGAACTTAAGAAACAAACGGTTAATGGAATAAGTTTTTCAAACTCCTATCAGTATTTCGTTAGAATGGCATTTTAACATCATTTTCCCAAGTGCAGGTTATGGACAATCGTTTTGGGGGGCAACGTCATTGTCAGTGATATGGTGTCAGCTTCCGGCTTGACCTGCAGTCTGCATTTTCCCGACCAACTGCCAATTTTCCCGCTCGCCTGACTCCGTGGGCTGGGGTTTGTCACCGAGATACATTAGTGGGGATTATAATTATTAAACAGTAGCTGCTTAGCGTCTCGCTCGCCCTCTCTTTTCCTCTCTCTCTCCGCAAATAGATGCCATCTCTTTTTAGTTTAGCAAGCTAAGCTGGCGATTTCTGAGGGCGATAGGGGCGTGGCAGGGGCGTGCGAGTTCTACGTCGTGTGTTTTCGAGTCCACAGCTTGCCCGAGCTCTCATGTAAATCGAAGCGTAATTTTTGCTATAAAACGCGCCGGCCTCAACAATTTAGCATTCAGTACGATCCGTTGACGGTTACTAAAACAACCCGGCTCAAACAGCTCGAGAACGTTGAGCAGCCTTCGGCAGTTTCTAAACATATAACAAGCCAGTGCCAAAACAAATAATAGCAAATTCAATTTAAATCTCTGCCCAATTGTGTAAGTTGCAACGCTGGGTACTTCCCTCTGGGGAATCCTTAGGACATCGCTAATGTGATCTAAACAATCAGGTGTTAAGTACCTGTTCAGATAATCCTTAAGGAAGCAGGGAAATGTTTTCAAAGTATAGTGAAAGTTCGACCAAATAAAAAATAATATAAAATAAATCTAGGCAGAATGATCGATCAATCGTTTTTTTTTTCAAGTTCATATTTATATTGGATTGCTAAATTTATAGAATTCCAAGGACAAAACTTCGGTCTTAAAATTGGAATAATTCTGGCCTGCTAAAACCAAAAGGCTTCCAAGTACTTTGCTATCGAAATATTCCTTTTTTTATCCATTTAGTAAATGTAATTTATGAAATTTATCTAGTTACAGTTACACTAAGAATAGAAGGATTATGTTTTTTAGGAAGTTCTATTATGTCCTCTCAAAAATATTAATAATTTACCTTTACCTTTGATAACTGCTAAACAGTTGAGATTAGTTTGTCGTGTTTATTTGCCATACAATTTCACTCGATTTAATACCTTAAAAGCGTTTTCAATTATTACATTTTGCATTATTCATGGCCTTGACTTTACCACAATTAAAAACCATTAGCACCAATCTAAACTGTAATCCTTAAAAATTTGAATTGATTTATCTTTGAATATGATAACTACAAACCCATTTAGACCAGTTATCATACTTAACTGCCCTACAGGTTTTCCAATCATTAGAATAACCTATATTGCAAAGAATTAAAAACGTCTTTTGCATTATTTATAACGTTGACACTATTAAAACCCAATCAAAATATTTATCTTAAAATTAAATCAACTTTGATAGCTACAAGAAAATCAAGACAAGTATTCGCAGTTCTCAGCCCTACAAGTTTTTCAATCGTTACAGTAACCTATATTTCAAAAACTAAGAAGCCGCCTTTACATTATCACAATTAAAAATGATTAGGAACCAATCAATATTCGTTATTTTAAAATGATAAATCAACTTAATAATTACAGAACAAGTTTTTGATTGATTTTTCAAAAACTTAAAAACATATTTTGAATTATTTATAACATTGACTTTATCACCATTAACAGCAAATCAATATTATTTATCTTAAAATTAGAATTCAACTTTGATAACTGCAAAGCAATTAAGAAAAGTTTATAGTAATTTTCTCCCCAACAAGTTTCTGATACAGTAACCTATATTTCAAGGGCTAAAAGCGTCTTTTGCATTATTTGTAACCCTTACTTTATCACTCATAAAAACCATTAACTACCGATTGAAATCAATTACAAACTTGCCAGCAACCAGGTAGCAAATGCCAGTCATTAAAAAGTCTGAGAGCTCCTCCCAGTTATTAGACAAAGTCGTAGCGACATGATGCATATAATCATCCACTTCAGATGATGATAGAATGGGAGGTGGATCACTTAAGGGTGGGTTTGGTTGTTTCTAGCAGTGCTGGGGTTAATAAACCCCTGTGTTAGCGAACTTTGACGTCAGTACAAATATTATATATAAATCGGTATTTAATATCCGCCATAATTTTCCACAGAAAACAACAGAATACCAAAATGCAGTCCTTAGTTATCGCAGCCTTCCTGATGACTTGTATCATCGGTTTCAGCTCAGCTGGCAATATGCGTAAGTTAAAACATACTTCCTCAATATAGTTCCTGTTTACTTACCAGATTTCACCCTTAGCTGACTATATCCAGGTGTGTCATCGCAACGATCCTGAGCTGTCGAAGTGTCTGAAGAGCAGTGTCCACAATTTGCGTCCCTATTTGGCCAAAGGCATTAAGGAATTGAATGTGCCACCGCTAGAGCCTCTCTATATTGGTGATCTTAGCATTTTGGATGGCTCCGCTGGGCTTACGGTTAAGGCCAAGAAGCTGAACATCCTGGGAGCCTCGAACTTTGAAATCACCAAGCTGCGGGCATCCACCCAAAATCGTCGCTTCGATTTCGAGTTGATACTCCCTCATCTCCATGGCGATGGGCTCTACGAGATCAACGGCAACATCCTGGCACTGCCCATCAAGGGCAATGGACCGTTCACAGGAAACTTCACCAACTTCGTGGCTTATGTGCGAGTGCAGTATGACATCAAGAGTGTTAACGATCTGGAATACCTACATGTCAAGGAATTCGCCTTGAAGATTCGCACTGGCAAGGGCAATCTGAAGCTGGAGAATCTTTTCAACGGTGATAAAGTTCTGGGTGATGTCATCAACGACACGATCAACCAAAACTTCGAGGTCTTCACCAACGATTTGATCGCTCCGATTGCCCGCGCTCTGGAGGCCAAATTCCTGGTCATCACGACCAAAATCCTTGAGAACTTTACCTACAGCGAGCTTTTCCCTGTCTAATGAGGAATCGTAATTAGGTTAGAATTAAGATTGTGATACACTCGAATTGTTTTAATTAGTCCTAAAATATTCAATAAACCTAACAAATTTGAACTTAAATCAGAACCTGTGTATGAGAAGAATCCGACTATTACGACAGTGGGTGTCCCCTGCAGTTACTAATTTTTTAAAAAATTTAGGAATCCGAATCTAAGAAATATTGATAGTGATAGATCAAACGAAAGGCGGGCAAAAGAGCTTGAAGATTACATTAAAATAAAAATAATATCTTGGCCTCTTTAACTACGTTAAGTGGCATCTGTTCCTGAGATTTCTGCGATTTTATTTTAGAATCTTCATGCTTCATACGGACTGACGGACAGACGGACATGGCTCATTCGTCTTCGGTATTCATCCTGATCAAGAATTTTCCGACTTTATAGGGTCGGAAACGCTTCCTTCTACCTGTTAAATACTTTTCAACGAGTCTAGTATTTCCTTTTACTCTACGAGTAAGGGGTATAATTACGAAGTAAAATGTAATAAGAATAAGGAGAAACTATGATCGAGTGCCGCAACTATAAGATACTCGAACTGTGCTATCAAATTTTAAAATAACATTTTGTTAGCAGAAATTTACGCTGTAAGTATATAGTTTTTTTTTTTAGTCCCACATACAGTGCTACCAGCCAAGTGTTTTGCTAATTGTGATGTTAGGCGTCGGTGTAAGAGTGGGCGTGGCAGGATGTTGAAGCAAGTTTGGCATCTTTGTCTCTCTTATAGTTTCTAAGATTTCAGTGTTCATACGTTGATAGACTGACAGAGGGACAGACGGACGGGCTCACGGACTCTATCAAACTACTAATAAACAAATGCATTTTACACTGTTATTCAACGAGTAACAAGTGGAATAGTGTATTAAACAAGATAACTCAATATAAAACCAAATCGAAAGTATGAAAATTCAAATCCAGAAGCATTCGATTTAAGATGGTTATTAAGGCTTGCATTGCATCGGACATTTTGAAATTTGCGCCTTAAATGATACGCCCGTGTTGCCAGAATTTAAGAATTTCTTTCCGTAGCAATGTGATTTTTAAAATTTCTCAATTTATAATGTTAATTCATTCCACCTATGAAAACATTTAGCATTTTGTCTGAGGATAATGTTGATTGCGATGGTCCGGTAACACAAAATGAACCGCTTCATTCTTGGCGGTCGCCTCTTGGCAGCCTAAAGCGATAATATCGAGCAGGCGTTGTCATACGATAGAATGGAAGTAATATCGAATTGCTGTGCACCTTTTACCATTTCCGATAGACCAAAATGGCATCTCCCGCTACCGATTTACGATAGGCCGCGAACAAATGTCATCTCTTGATATCGATTCACGATATAATTATATATATGAGAAGTGAGTGACAGCAGAGCCCTCAATTAAAAATAAAATTACAAAATTTCACCGTTTCCGTTTGTAAAGCGCAGCGCATCGCCCAGGCGTTCAAATTCCCATCTAATCCGACACAAGTGGTAGAATCGTTGTGAACCATGTCAACACCCGCACGCAGACGTCTTATGAGAGATTTTAAAAGGTAAATGTGGGAACTGAAAAGAAAACTAATGGAAAGAAAAGGACTCGAACGGAAAGCAGGAAAATTATAAGCAAGTCGCGAGTTTCACAGTCGTCGGATTTTGCAGTTTCGTGGGTTGAAAAAAATGTTGGAGAAAAGAAACCTGGGGCTGCCCAATACATATAAGCAAACACACGGGCGCACATATGTGTGTGTCTGTATGTAGTGGAAAAGTTTGCGCAGCCAAAATATGTACGTGTGCATGTGTCTTCATGTGTGTGTGTGTGAGTGGTTGATTATTTTCGCTGCTTTTTGCTCTTGCGAAAAACAACAACAATTCGCTTGTCTTTGACACTTGACTTTGATGAGTGAGTGTGTGTGTGTGTGTGGTGCGGGGGAAAAGCGAAGAAACAAAGGGGAAAATTGGGAAAACCAAACAAAATTCTTCCGTCTTTTGCCGAAATTGCGTCGCAAAAAAACATTAACAACAATTGTTGTTTTTGGGTTCGCCTGACTCAGCAGCTGCATCCTGCCCGCTCGCACTTAACCTTGTTGACTCACGCAAAAGAGACAGAGCACTCCAATTGGAATTTCATTCGTCTTCGAAACTTTCATCATCTCCGATATGTTGGCGCGGAACTGCAAATTGCATTTCTGAAAAACGAAACCAAATGTCAAGGCTGTTTGCGTGGGCGGGATTTCCAACCCCTAGGCAAAGTTCCACCCCAAAAGGTAACACCAAGCACTCGCTTATCTCAATTCCACAGAGCGAAAAATAATTAAAAACTTGTAGTGTACAAAAATACAATGACAAAATATTTCATTATAATTTTAAAGCTTTGACGGTTCTCTCACAGGATACTTCCCAATGCGACTGGGGTAGGGCTTTCACATGAAACATTTCAATTATTCCAAATCGTTACAAAACCTATGGTTTTGAAATAAAGATATTTCAAAAAGCGAATGTCTTTGAATTTAATTAATTCCCTAAGGAAGAAGATTTTTGGATTTTGGGATATAGCTTACTGAAGAAATTGTTTTGAACGCTGTCTATAAATCCCATGATATTCGTTGTTTAAAAATTATAGAACAATCCCAGTTCTTATTTAAGAAATTCTTAAATATCACTTGGATGTCATTACTACTCTTGACCAAGAATAAAATTGTGTTTCTCTCTGCACCCGCGCTTTGTTGCTTGTTTAATCGATGATTTCACTTGGCCCGTGTATCGATTTAAGCCGATTGAAGGGCGCGGTTAAACGGGTTGCGCCGCCCGCTTGTTGCTCTTTGTTGACCCAAATTCGCAGCCAATCCCGTCCAGTTAACATCCAGATTGCGTTTTCCTTTACCTAACAGTTGTTTTTGAGGTCCTATTTCTGTGCAGAAACCAATGTAAACAAACATTTCCACTGCTACTGCGCCCTTTGTTAATAATGCTCCAGCCATATAAAAGCAGTTTTAGCTTATCGAGCATAATTAATGTTTTAATGGTTTAAAAGAGATATTTTGTAATACTTCGCTTGATAAAAAATGTTACATAAATAATGGCATCTTATGATCAAAATAAAACATAGATATGCATGGTTAAGTAACACAGTAACAACATATGAATCATTTAACATAAAATTAAAAAAAAAGCGAACAAGAATCATTAATTATAGGTCTCTCTGCTAGACCGAATATATGTATGCTATGGTACGTCAAACAAAGAATATCTGACTACCAACAACTTCAAGTGGGTTGTTACATTAATTTAATATAAATAAATACTTAAACAAATAAATTACTTAACTTGCAATCGAAGCAACAGTTGCAAAAATATTAATCTGCCTTTCGTTTACCTGTTTGCAGACTTCAGGAGGATCCACCAACGGGTGTCTCGGGTGCGCCTACAGATAATAATATTATGATATGGAATGCTGTGATTTTTGGTCCACACGATACACCATTCGAGGACGGAACCTTTAAGTTAACCATAGAATTTACGGAAGAGTACCCAAACAAACCGCCAACAGTTCGATTCGTATCGAAAGTATTTCATCCCAATGTGTACGCGGATGGTGGAATATGCTTGGATATATTGCAGAACCGCTGGAGTCCCACATACGATGTGTCAGCCATACTAACATCCATACAGGTGAGTCGTATCCACGGCTGCCACTCAAGATTTTTCTAACTTTAGTTTGTGTTGCCTAGTCACTGCTGAGCGATCCCAATCCCAACTCACCGGCTAACTCTACCGCCGCCCAGCTATATAAAGAAAACCGACGGGAGTACGAGAAGCGTGTGAAAGCCTGCGTCGAGCAGAGTTTCATCGATTAGCCATGCGCCCACTCTAGGAACAGCAGCAGCAGCAGCAGCATTAGAAGCAGGAGCCACAACAGGAGCAGCAGCAGATTTGAGGGCGGCCGCAGCTTAAAACATCAGCAAACTACAGCAACAAAAATATGCAATACCATAAAGAAGTTTAAATTAAATAATGACAGAAATATTTATGATAATTGTAATGCTATGAAATTGTAACAGCGCCAACGGCACGGCACAGCAGCATATATTCACCCTCAACCGCTCACCCGCTCACACACCTGCGCACACCACCCGCCACCCATACACACTGGGCAGTTTTTAGTTATATTTGTTTGGCCGTTAGTTCCACCTTCTTCCTAACCCGATCCCGTAATTAGACGCAGATCACACAAAAGTAGCAACCACTTAGACCGGCAGTCAAAAAAGGCTCTCGTAAGCTAACAACTCTGATATGTTATAACTTAAATAGCAGCGTCAAAAAAATTATTAAGAATAATAAAAAATATTATTAAAACCATGTCAAACAATAGCAAGGCCTAAATAGTTTCATTTTAGATGTGCGCAAAGCAAGCCCTGTAAAACTAAACCAAACCAAAACCTAAACAGAAATTCATATTTGTAGTAGTGTCGTAGCAAAACCTCGAAAGTTAATTGGCAATTCTGAATCTGCCTGAGAACCTATGTAGTAGTCAAATGTCCAGTGTCCTCAATGATATCTCCCATATACACATACACATGCTACCTAGATCGATTCATAAGTTTATTGGCTAAACATTGTGAAATTACTAGAAATTGAGAATTAAATGTTAGTTGTTAGCAATATAAACCAATCCACATGGTACGTAAGGACAAGAGGTCTTCGACTTTGGGAGGAGCAGGCAATTTTATATGAGTGTATACCTCTGTAGCATCCAGTGAAATGAGCTATGTATTTCGCACGATTATTTCGTTGCCAGGCCCACACACAATACTTTTACCCTAACTATAAGATCTGGTCCTGCCCAGATTCAAGTTTACGCCCTGATTTGGTCTGTTATGATGGCCCACGCAATGGAAGAATGTGCGGTATCTTCTTTAGTATGTAGTCGGATGGAAACACCTCATAACTGCCATTTGCCACGCTATTGTACTCTCTAGGTTCCACTGTGTCTTGGCTGCGGCAATTGATTTAGTTAGTTTTTAAGCGTTTACAATCGAGTCTTAATCTTGTTTTCTGTTGAATGCGAATTGCTGTTCCTTTTGCTATGAACCCTCCACTTTTTTGGCACTTTGTGTTGGATGGATCGCGAGATGGCGATGCGATGCGATGATGATGCTCTGAGCATCATGTTAATCTTATATATGAAAACCTACCATATAGCAGCCTATTGTTTAATTAACTATGAACCAACTAAACCAGCAAGCAAGTAATACCAACTTAATTCGCAGTAAAAGTAAAGCAAATAATGAGGATTAAGGCAACCCATTCACGCGATGTGGAATTTCAAATTACCTTACTGTAATTAACATTATTATTATTAATAAAGTTTAAGATTTCAAATATCAATAAATGAAAATAACAAAAATGCCTTTTTATTTATTTGGTAACATTGTTGAGTTTTTTTTATAGAAACTTGATACTTGACTTTTGAAAAGATTAAGAAGAAAAGGAATTGCGATTGTTCCATTACTTAAAATACAAAACAATTCATATTGAAGGCAGCATTGATTTCCGCTCACTAGGAAGAAAATATGGTGAAATCTTCCATAAGCAATGATTTTTAAACAATAATTGTCACAAGATTAAATCAGCCTAACAAGGTAAAAAGTTTGTGTATCTTAGTTTTTTAATAGAGCCAAATGGAAATATATATATTTAACCCTAAGGGTTAGTTAGCTTTTAATCAAATTAAACAAGGCTGAAACATGCTATGTACTCTTAAGAAAAACCGAAGAAGCCCGGTCTGTCCTATTTTTGCAAATAATTAGGGGTGGTGAAGTCCAAAGCGAATTTGATCTGAAGGCAACTAGCTTTTGTAGAAGTGATAAAAAATGCACCCATCGTATGATTACTTTTTATACCCTTGCAGAGGGTATTATAATTTTGGTCAGAAGTTTTTAACGCAGCAAAGGAGACGTTTCCGACCCCATAAAGTATATATATTCTTGATCAGGATCAATAGGGGAGTCGATATACCCATGTCCGTCTGTCCGTCTGTTTCAACACTGTCTATATCGTATAGCTCCCATAGGAAAAATATATTGAAAACTGTATTTTAATTCGTGTTGCTATTTTGGTCAAATTTTCATTCGTGAAATCTGCAATTAAATTAAAACTTCGGGTTTCCGAAGTTAGCTTCCGTCCTCGTTAAAATTTGTAAAATGCCTGGTAAATCATTAACCTTTAGGTTTATATTCTACAACCACCAGTTGGGAAAATTTGTTGCGGAACTAGCGAAACCGTTTCCGGGAAACCATTTATATACATTTATACATTTTTTATACTTACATTCATATTATCTGTTAAGTCGCGGAGTTTGAAGGCAAACTTGAAGCATAGACCGAAAGGTGGCCGTAAATTGAAGATAGGCGCACGAGTTACCGACCAGCGGTCGGTCTGGCCACCCAGAGCTACCCTAGGAATGGTACGCTGACTAGTGACCACACATACATATTTACACTTATGGTTGCAACTATGTTGCAATCCATAAACATAGCCCAAGTCAGTCGACCCACTTGAATTGTTGCCCAACCGAACTAATGGTGACACTGCAACAGGATTAAGCTGACATTGCAGCAGGATACCCCAACTCTTCGCCACAGAAAGTTGACACACTTTTATTTCACTTTGTATAAATGTATAAGCATTTATGTACTAGTAAGCGGCGGCTTGTTGCCACCACTGTATTCCCTGACCGGTCATTTTCACATTTTCACTTGTTGAATTGGTTCATTCTGCTACCGAATTATAGCATCACGAAGCTCGCTTGAAACTCGCCGTTTTCCCTTTGCCCTGACGCCCTTAGACCAAAGTCTGCTCCTGTATATATAAAGGTCGATTCAAGAAAGACTGTACCTAACAGTTTTGAAACCCTATTTAGAAAGTAGGTAGCGTAGGGGTGCACTAGTACCAACAGCTATCACTTATAATTCCCAACTTCTTCTGGCGGTGTGCTCATGGATACCCCGATGCCGAGTCGAGTAAAGCATACTTACCTGGCGTAGAGGTTAACCGTGATCACGAAGGCGGTTCCTCCGGAGTGAGGCTTGGCCATTGCACCTCGGCTGAGTTGACCTCTGCGATTATTCCTAATGTGAATAACTCGTGCGTGTAATTTTTGGTAGCCGGGAATGGCGTTCGCGCCGTCCCGACGTATAAAATAAATATATTCAGAGGAATTACTCGTAAGTCGTTCGTTTTTAGCTCTATAACATTCTACATTAGGATCAATAGCCGAGTCAATTTAGATAGAGATCTCAAGGACTATAAAATCTATAATATTGTTAACTAACGATGAAGAATATAGGTACGCATGGCTGAGAAGAGCAAGAACACATATTTTGAAAGTTGGCCATTTCCATAAACCTTGAGCATTCGTGGAGTATGCTTGTATATAGTGATGGAAAAAATAATATAAACGAATTTTCACTTTGGGTTTAAATACGTATTTTTAATAATTAATTAATTTTTTATATACGAGGTGTGTTCAAAAAGTAAGGTGACTTTTCAAATTTCGCGGGCAACATATTTTCGATTATCGTTTTTTTTGTTTTGTTATATTGGTACACTCTTCCCTAACATCTGTACCAAGTTTCAATGGAACATCCTCTTTTGTTTGGTTGTGAGAGGCGTAAAGTTACAAGTTATTTTGCGAGCTCGGCGATTTTTTGCTTTTTTCGGTCTTGGCTCGTCTGGGCTCTTCCATTGGGACGATTGGGCTTTGGTTTCGATATCATAACCATATACCCATGATTCGTCACCTACGTTTTTGACTTGAATATAAAAATAGAAACGAACTGACTAATAGTCATCCAAATTGACTAGTCTAGCAAAATTAACCATGAAATGTTTTCAGGTTTAACATTTTGTTGCGTTACCACGATTTTCCAAACTGCGGCACACCTACGAGGCATAGACTCCACTAGATTGGAGCATATTGCTGGCTCAATGGAGTACCACTCCACCTGGACTTTCTCCCACAAACGCTCCCTATTTTTTGACTGAAAACCAATTAAACGTTTTTTAAGAATGCCTCACAAATGCTCAATAGGGTTTAAATCGGGTGACTGAGCTGGCCAATCCATAACGTCGACTTTATTGTCCTGGAACCAATTTTTCGCAGTCTTTGATGTGTGTTTGGGAGAAATTCCCAATTCAAAGGCATTTCATCTTCTGCATATGGTAACATTACGTCCTTCCTTGTATCCAATAAAGTGGACCAACACCTGAAGCCGAGAAACATCCCCATAGCATTATATTGCCACCTCTGTATTAGTAACATTATTTTTTCAGCTTGGAATATTCTCTATCGACCTGAGAAAAATTAAAATCCCACCATTATTTTACAAGTTATCAAAAAATACAGGCTATTGAGTCTTAAGTGTACCTCCAGTTAATAAATATGAAATTATAAATCTGGCTTTGCACATTTTAAAGGGAATATTACAAATTATCGTATATTTTATAGGCAAACTTCCTTTGTGATTTTAAATGTCGATTTGAAAAAAAAATATTAATTCTGGAATTTTGCTATGCTAATTTTAAATTATTTAATTTACACCGGGCAAGCAATACAACAAACTTAAGATCTTGTCGCTTTAATTTAATTTTCAGTACATTTCTTTCAATATTTCTGAAAAATATCATTTCAATTTTCCTTCCATTACTCAATAACCATTAATTGTAGTTTTCTGTGACGCTTCAGAGTAGAAGAAGTTATCTTAAAAATAGTATTCATAAAAACTTTTGAGAATTCATAAATAACGGATATTTAAATATTAACAATAACTTAACTCATTGCGTTACAAACTCCTGACCAAAATTATAATACCCTCTGGAAGGGTATATGGAAGGGTATATGTAACCAAATAATTAACTCATGTTGGACGTACCATTTTGGAAGTATATTGCTATTGCGACTCCAAGCATTTTGTTGTGCGTTTCAATTAAAAAAAAGAAAAACAATTTAATATTTCGTATTTGCGGGATTACAGCATTTTATTGTGCATCCCAAGAAATCTTAAATCTTAGATATAAGTGTTTATATTTATTTTATACGTCGGGACGGCGCGAACGCCATTCCCGGCTACCAAAAATTACACGCACGAGTTATTCACATTAGGAATAATCGCAGAGGTCAACTCAGCCGAGGTGCAATGGCCAAGCCTCACTCCGGAGGAACCGCCTTCGTGATCACGGTTAACCTCTACGCCAGGTAAGTATGCTTTACTCGACTCGGCATCGGGGTATCCATGAGCGCACCGCCAGAACAAGTTGGGAATTATAAGTAATAGTTGTGAGTCATAATGCACCCTTATGCTACTGACTTGCGCAGTAGGGATGCAAAACAGTTTGGTCGTCTGTTACTTTGTATACATAGACGCAATATGTGTTTTAAATTCCGCAAGCCTTCCTTTATTTAAAAGTCTTTTAAGCGAATATGCGAATCATATTTAATCATATTTTGCTTTTATAGCTCATCTTTAGGTATCATATAAAGATTTTTTTGACCATATAATCGAAATGTAATACATACTTAAACACCCAGAGGGGCTAACTTTCTGAACTTTGCCCACTCATCAGTTCTATAAGTGCTTTATACGTACTTTAGGATCATGGAAGCCATAACCGGTGGATATTGTATAAGTCGATTCATCCCGACTAAAGAAATTATATTTCTATCTATTTTTCACTTTGTTGTAAAATACAACGAACAAATTGCTTAGGTCCGTTTTATCTATTTAAATGTAAATTTGAATATTCCTGCTTGCAGCCCTGGTACATTCAGGACAATTTATTCTTTGTTTTTAATGATTCAATTTCATTAGAAGAATACAAATTACATTCATAAACAGTATACAGATGTAGTTTCAGTACAATAATTTTTCATCCTTGTTGGTCTAATTAAGGGATTATAGTTACTTGTCTGTAAAGATTTCAAATAAAGCAAAGAAGAATAGCTGGTTAACCCTTTTTTGGCCGTTTCTTTATATCAATATTCCATTTAATGTGATCTTATTTTGTTTTTGAAAAAAATTAGTCATGTAAGTAACAAAATGTTATGCTCCGTTTGGCAATGGCTTAAAAAGACAAAATAAGACAGCTTAATGAGAGAAAAATGGCCAAAAATAATGTTAGTCTCTAAGCTAGTAACCGGTTTTTAATCTTAACAAAAATTCGATCGTATTGATACAATACGCAATAAATGAACACTACCTCTACCACCCCAAGCCAAAACATTTACCTTGGCTCGTTAAAAAGATGAACATAATTGTAAAAAGCATTTATGTAAAAAGATGCTGATTGACCGCAACCAGGTACAAATGGAGAAATTATTATTATTATTTTCTGTCTTTCCACGAACCTGTAGAAGGTAGATGTATAAGGCACTTCAGACCATATAGGTATTATATTCTAATTCATCAAAAAGAGCCCAGATACGAAAAACCATTTTAAAATTAAACGTTATATTATTAAGTAATCCGCTGCTAGTTCATTTATTTTAAAACTGGTGGACAATATAACCTTCTTGTCTTTATGCAATAATACAATCAATTATACCTTTATACCAACCTTAGTCCGCAAGGCAACGCAGCGTATGTAGTCCTGTTGCATTTTATGTGGCAACATAGGACAATCCTTTGTGGGATTGCTGCGATCTAAGAACAGCAAGAAAACCACCCAGTCACATTTTTGTTACATTTTTATTTAATTTGTTTATATCTATTAAAGTTAATGACTTAATCTTAAGATTACAAATTGCATAATTTACGTAAGAAAATAAAATTTCAATTACACAGATCCTTTTTATTATATTTATTTGATTTTGGAATCAATTCTTTTCACTTTCTCTATTAACTTTACCGAAATGTAAACCGATTAAACAATTGATAAGAGTGGTTATAAAACCCAAACTAAAACACATTAAACCAGCTATAGACACGAATCGTACCGTTACAGTAAAACATTATACATTTGCCGAAACAGACGCAGAACATAACAAAACGACAGACATTATTTACAAAGATACCTCAAAGCTGGCTTTGTAAGCATACAAAAAGAATACATTAGTATTGTTGAAGATAAAATAGGTATATATAAAATGGAAATAGTGGTTGTGGTGTATATGTCGTATAAAAATAGAATACTAAAAGGCATCTCTATGCATATCTGATTACTTGAGTGCCTCCTTTATGGAATTGCACAAATATTATGAGTGGGTCCATTGCGTTCATCCTGGGAAGAGTTCCTTGTCCTAATTGCTGCCCAATACGGCGTGGCTGTGAATATTCTTGAAGTCCTGGGTTTGAGTCGTACTGCGCAGTACTTCCAGCCATCTATAAACAGAAGAACATATTACTACCAGTTGATAAAAGTTCTTATTGATTTTAGGTTCTACACAGTGCCAGGTTCATTTAGATTATTTTGAAGTTTAAGCTTTTGTATCAACCTTGCAGATAATTTACTGTCAGCCTTACCTGTTGTAGGTGTGGGCGCTCTCCGCCCGGAAGAAATAGACGTGGTTCTTGAAGGAGAGCTTGAAGACGAACTCCTTCTGAACAGCGTCTTGGTGGCCAGGAGGACCCACAGTATAACCCAGCAGCGGTAAGCTAGCCAGGGCGAACTCGTCCTGGTAGCTCTTGTAGAAGTACAGGCAGAACGAGGTGAACACCACCCACAACTTCTGCCAGCCGGAGCTATTCTTGAACTTGCGCAGCAGGTAACCGGAAAGCTGGTGCTCGGCGGCTATCAGATGATCGCCCAATCCTACGGTGGCGCCACGATGCCAGCAGACGTGCAGAGCGGTGTTGCTGCGAGACGGCTGCGTTTTGTTTTGCTGCTGTTGCTGTGGTTGCAGCTGCTGCGGCGACAGTGGGCCGCCGCCGTTCACACTGCTGTTTAGGCTGCTGTTGTTGCCGTTGGTCAGACCTAACAGATCCAGACCCTCCTCTGAGGAACCTGAAAAATTAGTTTAGTAAATTCATCAGTAATGATTTTCAGGAGGGGGGATTAGGGAACTGGGGTGCATTTTTTGCTTACGAGGCATTGCAGCGTACTTTTCTTGCCAGCCAAAAGAGTGAAAAGTAAATGAAAAGTTTTTATAAAGTAGAAAAAGGAGGATAACTTCGGAAACCGAATCTATGAATCGTTAGAACACACTCGTGTTCTTTTGACAAAACACAAAAAAGCGAGAAGGAACATTTATAGTCGAGTTCACCAATTTTAAAATATAATAAAATAAAATAATACAAAAATATTTGAAAATCTTGACAATGTAAATACGAGCCCACCCCATCCCATTTGCTTATACTCACTGCAGTTCTTAAGCGTCGTCAGTTGTAGTTGCATGTTGGGCGGCCGGTTTTTGATATCCGCAGCCGCCTTGGAGAGCTCGGCCAGCCAGAGGGTCTTCTCGGCAGTGGTACCAGCACTCACAGTGATGGCACACTGTCCGCCAAAGATGGAGAAGGTGTTGTGCTCGGCGTTTTCTGTGAGAAGCGATCGTACAGGAACGTGTCCCAGGATGCGGAAGCTCTGGTCCAGGGGAGACTTGGACCCGTAGAGCAGTAGGTCCGAAAACAGGAAGAACATCCGCTGCTGCAAGCCGCGCTTAGAGTGCTTCAACAGGCAACCCTGGCGAATGAGGCGGCGATGGGGCTGGACCAACTGCTCGAAGCTGATGTCGCGCTGCAGTTCACAAAGTTCCACGAAGTTTGCGGAATCGGGAAGGTTGGCTCTGATCCCCTTGGTGCTGCGGACGAGCAAGTGGTGCACCGCTTGGCAGTCTAAAGAAGAAGTTACAAAATAATATTCTGACATTTCCAAATAATTATTATGAATGCAATCTAACCAGCGTAGTCAATGTGCTCCTCTGCATAGTAATCGCATAGTCTTTCCAGGATGAGCTGGTAATGCAAAAGGCGATTGAGCGGCTTCAGGAGAAGCTCACCGATAGGCAAGTAGCACACCTTCTGTTGCTCGAACTCCTTGTACACCTGGCGGAAGCGTTCGTCCCCTTCGTACATGTCGTTCAAGCAGTGCAAGATATCTAGGTGTGTCTGCACGTACTCATCGTAGATGGGCAGGGCCGCCATGTGCTTCATCATCACGTCTCCGATGCGGTGGGCATCGTGGCCGCCACGTCCCTCCCATTGCACTAGGCGGTGTTCGATGTCGCGCAGGAAAATATTGTGGTGTTGGGCCAGAGAGTCGAGCAGTTCGAACAGCGGCTGTAGTTGCTCAACATCCCCGAGGCTTAGGACTTGTCGAAAGGCCGTGTTCAGCACATCCAAGTCCTTCTTGTACGTGCGTTCCGTCATCAAAAGTTCCTTGGCCAGGAAGTAGCTTGGCTCGGTAGGCCACTTCCGCTTCTTCACTTCCGCCTCAATGTCGTGCTGAGTGCTCATTGGATGTGCATTGCCGTTTCCGTTCTGGTGTGCAGCGGTGGCAACGGCAGTGGCCAGCTCCTGTCGCTTGGCGTGCTGGATTTCGGCCTGAATCACATCATAGGTGCCAGCCTCGGATCGGGAAAGCGAAGAGGACTTATCCGATCCCAAGGTGAGGTCATAGCGCGTGGGAGGAGTGGTAATCTCGCCACGCCTGTCCAACGACATATTCCCATTTATGCCATGGTAGACATCTAAAAACGGAATAAATTATACAAATCAAAATAATGAAATGATAAAAACAAATCGAGAAAAACTATTAAATATAAAATATTATCTAAGAATCGCATTTAAATTAATAATCTCAAATACTAAAATAATATAGTAAAGCAGAGTTGCATTACGTTGACTTTGAAAGGTTTTTAAATTATTTTAAATTACTTTGAAACTTAATTATTTAATAAAATAACACTACACTAAAAATAAAATGTAACTGATTAAGAACTTAAGTATTATAAAATAATATACATGAGTAACTTTTTCCAATCAAACTCATCTCCCTTTTATTTGATTAATGAAGTTTTATTTATTTAGTTTCCTTTCTATATAATTATAATTTAATACTTGTTAATTCGATTGCTCGTGTACATTTCATTGGCTTTCATTATTTCAAGACTCAAATCACTCTTTCTGTATCTTTCTGTGTGATCTTTTTTGGCTTATGTGAGAAAAATGTTTTCGATCAAATAAAACCTTATTAAGTTGAATTTCGTGTAGCAAAGCAAATTGTTTCTAACTTCTTAAAATTCAGATAATATTCGTTACGTATTTTTTACGTACGTTTACATTTAAATTTACATTTAAAAAACAAACATTGTTTGCACTCGAAGTAATTTGTAAAAACAAGAGTTTAAGGATTTTAAAAACTCACTTAAGCCCGATAAGAGTATACGTTTTTTCCTAACTAAAGATCTGCTCTGGTATTATCGGATAGTAGGGTTATTCAATCAACGTAGACAAGCTTTTTGCAACAACCAATTTTCAATCTTATTCAATTTAACATTAAGTCTAAACACAAAGAGATATTTTGATTCGAATACTTTTGATCTGGATTAAATTAGTAAAATTATTGTTCCACCCTTACATTGCCTAGTACCAATCCTCCTCCACTCATTCGCTCTAACAACACTTAAATATCTTTTTCATCTTTCGTAAACTTAAAGAACATTAATCTATCCCATACGTTTTGGGTTTATAAGTTTCCAAACGGATTTAAAACTTAACAGGGTCTCAATTAATTCCGTGATCTGCTCCCATTTCAATTACATCTAGTTAATACTCTTGGTATGGGGTTTCCCTTCGCGGGTCTCCGATTTGGCACATTCATGTACTAAGCTGAACTAATGGCTAAGACAACGTTTGTTCACTTGTGAGAATCGTAAGTAATAGTTAAGTTGGTAACTTGCTTCTAAAAACGTATGCCGTAAAATTAAAAACTTATATAGCTCGAGAACTATATAAAATATATATGGCTAGAAAACCGCTTAATAGCTTGGAATAAATGCTTCTTTCATTATGCTGTGATAATGCAGTGTTCTGGTAGGAGAATACTTTGGGTCAGGACCTGTCTCGAGGTCCACTCAACTTGTTGTGAGAACAAATCAAAACCTTTTCAACAGTTTTTTCAGGACAATGGTTTCAAAGGATTCCGCTGATTTGTCGCTTCATCGTTTGATATTACTAAACTTAGATCATAGGTGTACGTAACTAGTTGAGAGGTTTGATACCGGATATTACCAGTTAGGTGTGCCTGGCTTTGACACTTGGATTACTTGGAACTCAGCTGGATAGGATTTATTAGTCTGCGCTACCAATTCTAATGAAATACTGAACGTAACTGCGCAGAGTTCGTGGCAATTTGAATTAATCAATTAATATATTCATTCGATAACGTTAATCTTAAGTATTGTGTTGTCGATTCGTGTTGTATTAGCTAAATAACAATTAAATATTTTTATTCTTGTTTCCATTATTCGATGATTAAACAGTGCATTAAAATTTGTTCAACTCGTTTAACGTTTTCGCTCAATGCTCAATATACCCCATATGTATATATATATTTGAATGTTGAATTGATCTATAACATTATCATATATAGATACCGCTCAAAGGCAACTCAATCTACACCGACCTACGGGCTTCCGCCATCATCTCGATTATTTAAGGTAATTATTTGATTTGTTATGTTTTGTAATGTTTGATTAAAATGTCGATTACTTCAATTTGATTTGATTTTCTAACGCTTCAAGGACAGTTATAATTGTTCTAAGTTTTTCTATGCAGCTTGTAAGATTCATGGGTTTTAGTTTTCGATTTTTGTTTTGTTCGCTTGTCGTAAATCAGTCTCAGTTACAAATAAGTTGGTTATAAGTACTTGGATCGTGTGTAAAAGTCAAAGAGTCGTTCTAAAAACTTCTAAGGCAACGGAACAAATGAAAAGGCTGCATTTGTTAAGCACACGCAATGGGGTTTCTTGTGATTTTCATTGTTACTGTTCTCCAAGTTCCATGAATATCCCATCCTATTGGTCACTCAGCTCATCCGAGTCATGGAACTTCGGTGGCGGATCTACACGTATATCCAGTCCACAGGCATACCGTTCGTACTCAATGGGTTCAGACTCGTAGTCTGACAGAAAATCGGGATAAGGAAGAGCCTCTCGAGCCTGGGCTCCAGTTCCTTGCTGCTGATCCTGTCCCGACCCTTTGCCTGCACCCCTTCTAATTGTGCCCGATCCAGATGCACTCGCTTCTCCCCCGAATCCACTGCAGCTGTCCTCACTAGAGTTGGCCAGCTCATCGGAAAATCCGGCACCCCGGGTCTCGTACTCGCTTTCCTCCGGATTACAGTAACTGCGTCCATGGTAGGGTCGTACCTGGGCTGTTACTCCTGAAAATCCGGATGTACTCGCCGCCGTGGAGTCCTCCCGTTTTAGCTGCCTTTTCTTAGTCCTAGCTGGCTTGACCGGCTGTCCCGTGGTCGGAGGCATTGGATGATTAGCAGGGGCTGGAACGTGCATTGGACTAGGACGGTCCATTACTACCGCTTGGTGATACATTGGCTTTGTGATGTGTCCCAGGCGATCGTATCGCGGGAATCCCATCTCGTCCACATTATCGCTCATGTCCAGGCTCTCAAATTTGCCACTATACTGAGGATAGTCGTCATAATCGTCGGTTTGCTCTTGATCCCTTTCCAGTTCCTCGTCGAACTCGAGGTACTGGTCATCCCGCTGACACGACGAGTACTCCGAGCTGCCTGAGTCAACTTCTGGCACATAACCCTCAGAGCACTCTGAGCTCTCAGCTTGCTCCAATAGAGCCGCCGCTGTCATATTGGCCCTCATTCTTTTTGCGGGCAACTGTCGCTTCTTGCGGTAGCCCCTACTTCTCATTTTGGCCTCCTGACCACGCACGTCCAGCGAGCTGTCCGTATCGTTGCCACTGGGTGGACTCTTCAAAGAAGTCGCTAAGGCTCCAGCACTTAGCTGGCTAGTCGATTTTCTTGGGGGTTTCTGCAATAACTGATTTGGTGGAGATTCCGAACTCAAGCTACTGGAGTAATATGGGGAACAGCGAACTAACTTATCCGCCCGCTGCGGCATTTGGGGAGAATTCGGTTCTGTACTCTCGCTGTTTAGAGTGTTAGTGGTGGTGGTCGTATTGGTGGCCGAGGAAGTAGAGTGCGGATCCCGCTCCTCGTCGATTCTCATGGGCAGCTCCTGCGAAGACTGTTGCGACTTGCTGAGCATGTGCTCATGAAAGGAGCTTGATTGACGCAACTGCTTGCTGGTGGTTTTGAACTCACGAATCTGCGTCTTTGAGAGAGTTCTGTCATCATAGCTGTGGTGCTTAGCCAATGGTTTCGGTGGAGGAGCCACCACGTCGCCGGGCAGATCGCTAGGCGTCACGATGGGCGGCACTGTGGGTACAGGTGGTGGCGATGGCTTCACAGCTGCCGGAGGAGCAACACTCTTGGCCTTTTTCTCCTCTGCCTCAGCAGCTTCGGCTGCCTGCTCCGCCAGTCCTGGTTGCTTCATTTTGTTAAGCAAAGCCTGCATAATGGGCCTAGTAACAGCTGGCTTCGGCTTCGTAGGCGGTTGAGGAGCCCTAGGCTTCTGCCGCACCTGTTGGGGCTGCTGGGTTTGGATCTGAGTAGTATTCGGTGGAGTGATTTGGGCTCCTGGAGGTCCACCATGGAGGGGAACAAACTCCTGGCTCTGATAGCGTTCCGTCAGTTTCTCGCTGTGAGCATACAAACGCTCTACAAACGGCGACTCTGACTCAGAGCATATTTCTTGGCTCTGATACAACTTGGACATCATCTCAAGCGAACGGCGTTTCCGGGCAGCGGCACTTGTCTCTGGACCAGTTGAAATGTCGACCTGCTCCTGGGCAGCCCTCGCATGGTTGCCATTGCTGCCGCTTCTTCGATGGACCTGCGGCAGGGCGCAACGCTTTTCCTCGCTGGGAGAGCTCAAACTAGTTTTATTTCCAGAAAGTGCCTGCTTGAGAGGAAGATACTCTCCAGGACTCACGCCAACCATCGTGCGACTACTAGAAGTGGACCACTCGCTGATGGTGTGAGCCATTTCGGTTAGAGTCAATGTGGTGTCATCACTTCGAGTGGCTGAGGTGGGCTCACTTAGCTTATCGGTCTCGGAATTGGACAGCATGTCATATCGAAGACCGTCGGATGAACCATTATCTCCGCTGAACTTGTGAGAGAAGCTACTTCCGCCACTCTGCTCGTTCAGGCTTTCAGCGGATTTATTGATCGAACTTATACTTGATTTTGTTTGGTTTGATTTCTCGCTCTTGGCGCATGAATGTGTGGAGACTGCGGAAAGGCTGTCTGATCCGGAGAGATTAGCATACTGGCGTACTGTGTTGGTTCCGGTGGACCATTCTGAGATGCTCAGTCCAATAGAGGTGTCCTCCGAGTGAGAGCTATGGGTGCATTTCTTCTGTTGCAATCCACCCATCCTTACTGTTCCATCCAGATCTGTGCCAAGCGAACTAGTTTCCTCTTCGGAATGGCTTGAGTGGCTGCATTTCTTACAGCTCGCTCCTCCACCGCTGCTTAAACGAGCCTCGTAGTTTCTCCGCACAGTGGTCTGATCTTCCATATAGGTGGCGCTTCCAGAAAGAATGTCGTCGATGGAAGTGTCTGAGTTGTTGGAGCCTCGCGAAAGCTTTCTCAGTTGGGCATCTGGTGAAAGCTGAACCTTGATTGTCCCCGGCATGAAGACGTCATCACTGGAGAAGAGCTCTTCCTCCGAGAGTGGGCTTCTGGGAGCTGGTGATCTTGTAGGCTGGGCGACAATCACCTCGGGACTGGAGTTCTTCCGCTGAACTCTAGCGGTAGCTTGAGTGGATGAAGTGCTGCAGCTCACATTTAGCGAAGATGAAAGGCAAGAGGCTGCACTTAAAGTGGAGCTAAGACAGCTCACAGTGTCCGGTTGTACTTGCTCATTGGCAAAATCATTGTCATCAAAGGCAGCTGACATAAGATAGGCGGTATCCTCGTACGGCAGAATCTTGGCCACATCAGGGGGTCCTACTGCCATCTCCTCATCCAAAACCACCTTGTCCGCATTTTGGACCTCGCTTGCATAATATGTTTCAATGTTCTCCACAATTATAGGGGCTCCAATGGCACTCGAAGGAGGCGAAGGCCAGTCTAGGGAATCCTGCGACTGTTGGAACGACAAACTGGCCTTCCAGCAGAAGGACTTCGGCACCGGCTTATCCAAGTCCGGCATGCCATACATTGATTCGGCCGGCTTCACCGGGACATGATCGAAGGGAATCTCTGGTAGAGGCCAGTCCTCCGAGTCCTGGCTGCCCGCATTGGAAAGGCACATTAGTGTGTGCCGCTCCACATCGTCGCATTGCAGTTCATCTACATGGGTCACAGAGAAGCGCCCTGTGACTAGAGTTGGTGATTTTGGTTCATTAATACTTCCGAAACTAGAGAGACGATCGCCAGTGGCCGAGTCGCAGGGAATTTCCGGCATCTCCGCCGATGTGCGTCGATCGGCATCCGAGATGTAAGCAAGATTAGTATTGCTCCTCGAATCGGAGCTTAAACTAGGCTGGTGATCAGTTGATCCCACCGATTCATCCCGCATGCTAACCGAGTGCGTCGAGGCCTTGCTCACGTCATCCTCCATGCTTGACTTTTCGGAAGCCGTGCTACGTTCTGAGATTCTTGAGAGAGTCCTGCCCAAAGTAAAGCCAGTACTGTATCCAATAATGTCCGTGGGATTCACACCAATTCCACCCAAATTACTAGTCATAGCTGGATAGCCGAAAGTAGCCGGAAAGTCGTTTAGCTCATCCTGATAACTGGCATCGCTGGCATCCTTCTGCTCATCGGGCGAAACCTCCTTTACGTCGCTGTCTGAGGAATCACGCAAAGGATTTTGTGCATCATACCGCTCGTAGCCGCCATCCGTTTCTACATGATGCCAAGGGTCATCTGTGCTAGAGCTGTTTGAGCTCTCGATGGGAAACGGGCGCCAAGTGCTTTGTTGCTCCTTCTGGGCCAGGTCGCCACGCCTTTGCGCCGCCCCTAGAGATCCAGAACTGCTTTCTGTCTCAAATGAGCCTCGTGATTCAACGCTTAAAGAGCCCTTGGAGTCAAAGCTGGATTTAGACTCCTGGGAACTACGGTCACTTCCCGATTTTCCCGGCTCCGCCCGAGTAACGGATAGTTTCTTTCCCGCGTTAGCTCTTGCCGGCTTTTCAATCCTCGGTGGTTTGCGGGATCCACCAGAGCTAGATTCACTGTCCTCGGTGCGGGCACCGCCTCGATCCAATATCTTGGCAATGCGCTCCTCGATGGGATCCAGATAGGTCTCTGTGCTGGTACCGAGGTCGATAGGGCTCTGCTTTTCCAGCGTCGGTGTGCTCGGTTTCTTGCCAACTAATACTTTTGGTTCATTTGTGGGCGTTTGCTCATTTGACCCTGTAGGTGTAATCTCATCATTGCCCATCTCCAGTTGGAGCATGCGTTGCTTGAGTTCCTGGCACTTACGCGCCTCTTCGTTGCCAAAATCCTGAGATATTCCAAAAGGCCGGGCAATCGAACAGCTGACGCTGGACTCTTCTTCCATTGAACTTTTGTCCTTACCCGCAGACAGACTCCAATCTTCTTGTCTCTGCGGACTTGTGTCCTTTTCTCCGCTAGTCCAGGAATCCGAGCTCTTCGAACGATCACTTTGCTTATCCAGGCTGTGATTTTTCTTTTTACTGTCTGAAGAGCCAGTATACTTCTCGAAAGTCTCCAGCACAGACTTCTCGATTTGGGGACTAGCGTTGGGTGGAGTTACAAGAATATTCAAGTCGGATGTGGGTGTGGCGCAGTTGGAGTACTCCAGAGGGTTTGCATCTTCCAAAGTAGCCTGAGTCTCCAGAACATTTCGATCTGGTTCCAAAGTACGTGGCTCGTTGTCAGAAGTATCCGATCCTATGAACTCGTCACACTCCACCGTCATCCAGGAGCCCGTTTCATCGCTTCGACTTCTATCCAAACTCAGCCTATTTGTATCTTGCCTCCCAACTTTCAGATGTCGCCTTTCGGACGAATTGTCGTCCTCCTCGATAGACGGTTCTTCGCATTCTATGGTGGGCACCCGGTGAGGATAGCCCTCGTTTCCGGCTCTCGTTCCTGGAATTGGCGACTTGCTGGCCGGTGAGTGGCTATCGTCAGCAGATACAAACGAGTCCAGGCTTTCGGCTGTAGACGGCTTGCGACTGAATGCTCCCTCACTGTCGCGTGCATCTTCGGATGGAAGAGAACGTTTCAGAATCTCCAGCGATCTACGCTCCGAAATCACCGCTTGCATGTCGATGTCTTCCTGATGGGGCTGAAGAACATAAAATTTACATTTAAAACCCACGTAAACCATAAATTTATGTAAGTGCTTACCTCTTGGACTTGATACTGATGGGCAAACATTCGTCGATCCCCGATAGCACTCCTGGCCACAGGCGCCGGCTTCTCCTCATTCTTCTTCGCCGCCTCGGTCGCCTGTCTTTTGTCATCAAGACTTCGTGCCTTAACATCAGGACCAAGGTAATGATGTTCGGCTGGTCTCTCCAGACTACTCGACTTTCCATCTATCTTCTTGTGTACAACACTGCCCTCGATCTTTTGCTTCATCTCCTGCGCCTTGGCAATTTTCTTGGGGGATTTGATGAGCATGTCTTCGGGAGCATCTGACTTCTCAGAATCTTCGAAGGACTTATTACGATCCTCGAAGCTTCGATTTGCTTTGTCCAGTTTGTCGGGGCTTCGTCCTTCGTCAAAACTGCGGCTGAATTTCACAAGCGAATTATCGAGTTTTCTGGGACTCTTGGCGATCAGAACGTGATCCTCCGCCTTCGATTTAAATTCTGTTTCAATAATAATCTTGTCGCCGTCGGTCTTTACAAGAATTTTATCCTCGGGAGCGGGGAAGGCTGGCAATGTGTCCTTCACCGGACTAAGCATGGTGATGGTTTGCTTCATGGCTGACTCGTATAGCTTTTGCTGACGTTCCTTGCGCTTCGCAATATCAGCCTCGGTCTCTTCTTGAGATTTGCTCTTGTCCTTGCTAAGGCGTCGCATCTCGATGGATCGTGGCCGCTCCTTTGGGCTCGATTTTTTACTTCCCCTTCCATCTCGTGCTTTTATATCATCAGCACTGGTTCGCCGTGACTCTGGACGACTTCTGGATACTGCCTTTCCCTTATAGGGCTCCGACGTCTTAAGCTTTCCCTTGCCAGTGCTTTCAATGCTGCTGGCTCTTGAGACCCCAGGCGAAGTCTTCCGGGAGCTGTTGGCTGAGCTGTATGGCGACCAGTCTGTGAATCGGTATTTTGGTATGTTCAAAATTAGGTGATCACCGCTCCTAAGTTTCATCTTTGACTTCTTCTTGTCTTTGATTTTAACGCCTTGTAAGGCAATTTTCTCTATGTACCGCAGTTGGTTAAGCAGCTGGGCCTCTTCGCTGTCAATAGTCACTGCACTTAGCAACGAGTCTCTACCATTTGTTTGGTAGCTAGTCTGGGTGGGTATGGATCCTGCACAGGAGTGAACGCTGTCAGCGGTGTCTTCGTCCTGTGCGGCAGCTTGGTTATCTCGCTCCAAAGACTTCTCCTCAAGAATCTCTGCCTCCTCCTCAAAGCCCACGGTATCGTCCTTTGAGGAAAAGGCGTTCATGGGTGGGAGGCGGTGTAACGAGATCACCGGAGTGTCGAGGCTCTTGGTTCGTCTCTCGGTTGTCGGTGATTGCTGTTGAGTCGCCTTTTGCCGCTGCAGGGACACTGATCCTTCAGAAAGATTCAAGCGTGCGTGGGCAAACAGAATAGGGGCATGTCCTTTGGAACGCATAACTATCGAGGAGTCGATGATTTCTTCGATTAGCTTTACCTTGGACTTAGCACCGCTGGCTGTCTGCTTCTTTAGAGTGTAATCAATGTCTGAGCCTGTGATTCGCTCCTCGTGGCATGTTTCATATATGTCGTCGTTGCTACGGAAAAACTCGGCATGCTCCAAGATAGGTGAAGGAATGTTTTCGTTTCTCTGGTAATCGTTTGTGCATTCATCAATGCGACCTCGTATGGGCATGTGGGGCTCGTCCTCTGAGGAAGGTATCGAAATAGAGCGTTCTGAGATCCGTCTCAGTTCTGTGGCATTTGTATACTGGGGGTCCAGCTTTTGGGTTTGATATCGACTCTCCAAATCAGCCAGCCGCCTACACTGAGGAGGTGACCCCTCTATCTCTGTAGAGCTCATTGTCTGCCCGCGACCCCAAGCCGCCGATATAAGCCTACTTTGCTCGATGCGGAGAATAGACTCAATCTCCTTGCGTGATTGTGGCGGAGAAAACTCCAAGCGATCGGGAATGGCCTCAGCGGAACCAAAAACATCATCCGAGTCCAAGCTTTCGTCGTCGGAGGAGAACGAGGTAATGCGAGTCTTGCCCTTCTTAGACTTTCCAGCTGACTTGGTCTTCGGAATAACCCTCGGCTTATTGGCTTTTCTGGCATTGGCCTGCAGCTCCTTGCGGAGACTCTGAATAAGCTCCATTTGCTTTTGCTCCAGCTTCTGCTGCTGCATGCTTTCAGTTCGGGAACTGGTGGCCGAATCACTTTCAATCTGGCTGAGTTTTTTGTTCAGTTTTTCCAGCGTTGAGGCGTCCATCTGTTTTGTGATGTCCCGCTTTGGCGACGACAGATGAATTGTTGGAATGGTCTTGTCGATCTCCAATGTGATTGGGTCCACCTTTGAAAGGTCTATGTTTTGCGTGAATAGGAACTCCTTCGTGTCCGGAGGTAAAAGACTGTCAAGTATATCAGGCAGGAAGTCAGAAGCACCAGCTCCTGGAATTCCGCAGCTAGCTTTCGGTGATTTCGGCGACTTCGGAGATTTTGGAGACTTGGGTGACTTCGGTGACTTTGGAGACTTAGGCTTAGTGTGTTTCTTCTCGCTGGGTGAAGGAGCAGTACCGTTCATGATGTGGCGCTTGTGGAGAACATATGGAATGTCCTCCTTTAAGACTTTGGTGAAACGCCTCTCGTAATCCCTGAAAAAACTCTTCGGAAGCTCAAAACCCGTCTTCGGCAGCTCCTGAGTGACCTGCGAAGCAGTAGCGCCATCGTAACACTTGGGAATTTCGAAATTACCATGGGCTTTGCAGAGAGGAGGAGCACTTGGAATCTGCTTGTAGATGTAATCCTCATCGCTGGAGTTTGAATCTGCTGGAGTAAGGTCAATGGACTTTTGGTGCATGAGCACATGACGGCGAGAGTTACTTCCTAAGCGGGCACGGTTGGCAAGCGAGTTAGGATCACTCTTGGTGCGCTCCACTGTAGCATGGGATGAGTAACTTAAAGGTACCATAATGGGATTGTACTCCTCAAAGTGCGTTTTGGCTATTAGCTCCTCCTTACGAGTTATCTTCTGATGGGCCATAAGGCGCGCCTGCTGCTTCTCAAACTCCGAAACAAGTTCGGGAGTGAGTGGATACTCCGGACTCTGCTTGCTCTTCTCGTCCTTGGGTTGCTGGCCCTCCCACTGCTTAGTGTACTTCTGAATGCACTCGATGCGATCCTGGTCGAAGCTAAAGATATTTTCACTATCAGATCGTCGACGGAATGCAGATATCTTGCAGGATTGTGAGTTGCCCCTCTTTATTGGAGCCATCTGGTCAAGTGAGTCCCCCGTCTGGATATCCTTTTCTCGACAGCGTTTTCCCGAAGCCGGAGTCGATACGGATTCCGGAGACTTGCTGCCAAAGGACTTGGCGTTACGTTCGATCTCCACATTCTGCAGACTAATCGAGTGCACCTTCGAGGTCTTGTGCGTCTTATTGCTGGGAAACGTGGAATAAGTGTCACGGCTATCATAGAAAGAGCTGTTTGCAGTGGAGCTATGAGTGTCCGAAAGCAGGCAGTCGTGACTCTTAACCTTTGGCCTTGAGTATAGCCCCTCCGGTGCTGCTTCTACACCCGCTTCGACGGCATCGTAGTAATCACTCTTTGAATCCTGACTGGACTGGGCAAACTTCTCGTAGAGCTCTTTCTTAGTAAACTGCTTAACTTTTTTGCCGGTGGTGGTTGGCATCTCGTAGTTGCGGCCAAAGCAATCACCCACCAAGGACTCTTTAGAGTCCTGACTCGAAGCCACAGAAGTTTTACTCTTTGTGGTCTCCCGCGACTTTTTGCTGTCCGTGTGGTAAAGACTGTCTCGCGACTTCTTGCTGGAGTCTGAACTGCGCGAGATCTTCGTTTCGAACAGCTCACTCTGACTCTCTTGGCTAGATGTACGGGTCAAAGCTTCCTGTATCTTCTTGTAGAAGTTGCCGTCCGACTTGACCGACAACTTCTCGCGTGGCAGATACCGCGGATCCTCGGCGTCCCAAATTTCGTTCATAATATCGGCAGCCGACTTCGATTTGACGTCTATTGCTGAGCGATATTTGTGCTGTTGATGTCCTTCAGATACCGACTCGTCGTCACTTGGTATGTAATTGCCCGAGTCTAGTGAGCAGGAGCGCATGTGGTCCTCGGAGCGGCCACGTCCCCCGAAGAAGTCAATGTCGTACTTCTCCAGAAGTTCGTAGCTGTCCTGTGAGATATCGTCCTGGGAACCCGAGTAGTCCAGCTGCTGGCCATGCTGACGCCGGTGCTCCTGGGTGTTGTAAGTGCTGCCCGGATAGCTCGAGGAGTACACTTTGCTTTGTGGCAATGGAGAGAAGTCCTGGTGGGCATCGATCGAGTGGTTTTTGGTAACATACAACGAGTGACGGGAATCGTCGTAGCGCGTCACTGGAGAGTCGATCCGGTTGGAGGAAAGGAACTCTTTGTCGAAAGCAGTCATTGGCTTGGGCAGCTCCCGGTCGTAGTACGTGCTACTGTACCGCTCAAATAGATCTTTGCAAGAGCTGCTCTTCAGCCAGGACTCGCGCTCCACCTGGTCATAAATATTCTCACCCTCCTCTCCCTCGTCTTCCTCTTCTTCCTCTTCATCGTCCATGTAATGAGCGGCTGCTTCATCGGGTTTTACGAACTGGGTTGTAGAATAGAGGTTGCCCGAAGCCAACTGGTATTCAAGTTTCTCCGATGAGGAAGAGAGACGAGTGGGAGGAAGTATGCCCACCGAGTGATGTGTGATGTAGTGGCTGTCGTACGAATCCACTGAATCAACTCCAGACAGCTCTGAGTTTCGGGGAAGAGAGTGAGTGTGGCGGGAGCTCTGGGAGTCTAACGATGGTGTCAGGTAATTTTCGGATTGGGCCAGCTTGGTCCGTTCCCCTTGACCGTACCGTTTGGTGCCGAAGCCAGTACCGAAGTAGGAGGAGGAAGAGGACTCAGAGGGGTGATTAAGGTCATTGTGATACTGGTAGTTTGCACTGTTGTAGCTCCTCTCCTGGACAGCAGCTGCGTACGCGGAGGTGCTAGGTTGTTGCAAGAGAACAGGAACTTGGCTTAGACCCATTTGCTTGGCCCTCGTATACTGAAGTATGGACTGATCGATAAACTCATCGCTGAAATGTTTCTCTCGGATCTTGGATTTAGCTTTGCGATTAACAGTCGCATAGATATCGTTTCGTTCATTCAGATTCAGGTGCTCGCTATTCGAGATCTTGTGCTCCTGGTGAGCGGCGCTGTGAAAGTCCGGGTACTTATAGTGGCCCATGTCGTTGATGTCGGTGTAGATTATGTTGTCGGTTTCAGTTTCGGTCGAGTTTGCATTGGCGTTGTTGAGCATGCACTGCTTAGACATCGAATAGCTGGTACTGCTATAATGGACTGGCGTGGCAGTTTGCGACTGGGACTCCTGTGACCGAAGCTGCGGACGATGGGCACTGACCAATCCCGAGCCCAAAGCCGAGACCGATGCTGCCCCCGCTGAGGCTGCCACCATAGTCTCCCGATTGATGGTAGATGCCGTCAAGTCCGAATCCGCTTCCTCCTCTACTAATTCCTCCTCCTCCTCCCCCATAGGCTCCCCCTCCTCCTCCGTGTCCACAGGTCCCGGGTCCTCCGCCTCCTCCTCCAACTCCATGGAGCTGTTGAGATCCACCGAACGACCCACTGTGCTGGTGTTGTGCATAGTGTTGTGGTTGGTGCTGCTGCTGTGCGTGTTGATGCTGATGAGCTGCGGCGACGCAGGGACATACGCTTGGGATCCCACTGAGACTCGACGAGGGGTGCTGCTGCTGTACAAGTGGGACAAGTGGCTCAGACCTGAACGCGCCGGATGAAATAACAATCCCAAATTAAGCAATTACCGCGTACCATTTTCAAAGTTGTGGAAACAAAAACAAACCCAAATAATATCGAATTCAACTGATTTAACCGCAAAAACAAAGCACTGGAAAGGAAATCGGTTATGTTACAAGCCCACTTAAGTGGGTGGAGACATGCAGTATTGCTAATAGTAAGATTAACTTAATCGCATAAAACATAAGTGACTTATCCAGAGGGGAGAAAATCATAGGCACCCTATCGATTACAAATAAAGTATTTAAAATATATGCCGCTTATGTTATATAAATTAATTACTAATAACTTAAATATGAGTCAGGGAGCACTCACTCTTCTACACATATAACAAAAAGTATTTGATTTAACAATAAACTTAATGAACTTAAAACTCATCTGAGATCGGAGGGGGACTCACCTAAATTGTGATCGCCTGGATGCACACGAGCCTGATCGGGACCGCGCTGTTGGAGGTGGCTGCTGTGGCTGGGCGAAGTCCACGACTGCGGACCCTGGGGCGAAAGCGAGCGGTTCGAATTCATTTGGTCCATACCCACTGCCGAGTGGAGTTGCCGTTCCGCCACCGCCGCCGAGCATTCCGCCTCCTCCTGGGAGGTTGGCGAGTCCGCTGCATAGTTCTTCGTCTGATAGATCTCCACCTGGGCTGCTGTGACCTATGGAGGTTATAGGGGAGTTAGCTAGATTGGGGATTGGGGGATCAGTAGGGGAACTCACTTGAGAACGCATGTGGTCGATAGGATTGTCTCGTCGGCGATCCAAGGTATCCGCTGCCTTCTTCGTCAGAGAAGGGGTCATCGAGTCGCTGCATTGATTGCGATAGTCCCATGCCGCTGCAGCGTGCAACAGAAAGGCAATGCGAAATTAAAACCAAAATCAGTACAAATCAAAGGGCATACACTATCAAAACACAATAACTCGACTCGACTAGACATTATTCATTCATCATCAGCTAGCAAATCAAGCCCGAACTCAAAATGAAATCAAGACGAACCAAATGATATCGAATCGAATAGATATATCCATCAAACGAGTAACAAAATAAATACAAACCAGTGTCAATTGGGAGTAGGGGATTGGCTGAAATGCTGGAATTCACATAGGTATGCGATTGACTTCGGCTACTAGCATTCAGTGGCCCTTGCCGGAATGACTGAGACCTGCAGCAAAAGAAAAGACAAGAGGATACCACGTTTTATATTTTCACATGCTCAGTTTGGTTTTTCTTTTTGTTTTTAGTGATTCTTTTAGTACTAGCATTTCTCTTAGGTTTTAGTTTAGCGTTTTCTTTAGGGTTTTGTCTTATTTTAGTTGGAGAGTTTCGGGTTTTTAGCACAGTTTGGTTTGTTGGAAGTTTTTAGTTTCGTTTTAGAGCTGAGAGCTTTGCTTAACTTAGCGAAGTCATTTCAGTTTAAATCATAATGATAACGCAAACGGTAACTGAGGAGTTTTAACAATTAGTTAGTAAGCAACTATAAGGTATAAAATTGAACACAACATTTATCCATTATCATAGGCAACTACGGGGACTCGAATCTACCGATTCTATTTGAACGACACTGGTTTATAGAATGTCAGTATAATCTGATTTAACGCAACTTATTTTCCTTAATGTGTACAAACAGATATGGTATGGATTTTCTTTGTGTTTATCGGAATTATGTGTTTATTTAAATAAACATTGATTAAGTTATAGGGGGGGTTTAGTTTAGAATCAACCGACTAGTTAACTACACATTTATGGGGAGCAGAGGTAAGGGGTTGATTAAGGTATTAAGCTGGTTTACCATCTACGTTATGGTTCAGTCTAAGCCAAAACACACAGGAAAACGTACGACAATAGGAGATTGGGGGGGAATTATCTTAAGATGATTAGTTTAAAACATAACTTTTAAGTGCAAGCCAAACTAGGGATGATGGTTTTCTCCTGATCGATGATTTGCAATGATCATAAAAATCGTGAGACTAGGAGAGGGGAAGGTGGTTTGGATGGATGGATAACAAATCAGAATGCTTTAGATATCACGTAAGGAGTTGCCAATTCGGTTGTTAATTTTGTTCACTAAACTAAAGACTATCTACGTTTTGTTTTTAAATTACAGTCAACACACACACTCCTCGACAAATGGACACGCACCCCGCAAGGGGGCTGAGGTAAATCAAGAGTGGAAATTTAAATGTTAGTACAGAAACTAAAATGTAAATCAATGGTGAAAGTAATCGAAATGCTTGTCATTATTTGCTGTACATTTGACTAGATTTGGGTTTTGTTTTGGGGTTTTCTTTAATTTTTTATTGAACTATTTTTAGTTTTTGTGCTCTTTTAGTTTTTGCAGTTACTGTTTTTGTACCAATTGGTTTTAAATCCTCTTCTCTTTTCTAAGGCGCGTCTTTCGACCTTGTTATGTTTTTTGCATGTTGTGTTTTTGGGATTTTGTATAAATTGGATGGGTAGTAAGTAAATAGAAAGAAATTCATTCGAAAATAACAAACAAAAACTGCAATAAACGTGTGTCGTAAAAAGTGTAAAGAAATAACGAACGAACGAGTCGAGTTAGATGAGAACGAAGTCATGATGATTTGGCAATGTAGGCTGATGAATATATTATTAGTATTTGCTTAGAAATATAAATATATATGAATAGAGATTATTATTTAATGCTTTTAAGAAATTGAGACGGAGTTGGTTTTGCTTGAGGAAATTTAAGCAGCAAAGCCAAAGCTTGATAAGTCCTTTCCCAGCAATAAAAGAAAATAAAATAATAACTCGAGCAGTTTCTGCCTTAAATACTTGTTGATTTCAACGAAATAAACACGAATAGTGGTAAAAGCTTTGACGATTAAATCTGGGATTAAAAAGTAATGCCATCTCAGCGTAGTCCGCTGCTTACCTTTGGAAGTTCTGACGCTTTACGTAATTTTCGCGGACAAACTCGATAATCTGCTTCTGCGTTTTGCCGCTATAGCTGCAAAGGAATATTTTTAAATTATTGAAAAATTATATTTTAATCATTAAATAATCATACCGAAATGAGCTGCCCCGGGAGAGGACGCGGGTTTTCCTCCTGGGTGTATTTTGAACGGCCGTGCACCTGAAGAATCCATGGTTCTCCACGCATTTCTTCCAGAAGTTTTTGCACTCGTTGCGTCCCTCGAAGAAGAACTCAACGGTGTCCTTGTAATATCCCTAAAATAATAGATTATAATTGAATCAACAGTTCGTGAAGACTTAAAGCCGTACTTACATAACCCTCGGGATGCAGTTTGACCAGAAAGCGCTTGCGCTTGAAGGAAATCTTGCGGATCTTAGCCCAGGAGAAGGTGTTGATGCGCGTGATGTTCTGGAAGACAGTGATGCCCATGTGGGCAACAGCTAGATTCAGTGGCACTCCCTCCACATCCTTTGCCGGATGCATTTTCATGCCGTAAAGCTCACACCTCCGTGCCGTCTCCAAGAGGTTAAGGTCTGCCTCCGCCGGGGATTGGCCACTAAAAACAGCAGAAAGTAATTTTAAGAGTAAGTAATTTGAGTTATCTTAAAAATTATTAATAACATACACATGTTTTTTGTGGTTCTCCATAATCTTGCGCTGCATGGTGGCATCCTGGTGGGGCACAAAGCGGTAGGAGGACAGATACGTATGGTCGGGGTAGTCCTCGGGCACAAAGTCGCCGCAAGACGCCTGTACAATGTAGCTGGCCATCAGGGCCGCGGTATTGTCGTTGCACTGCAAGCTTCCTGTAGCCAAATCCCGTTTGATTTGCAGGCAAAACAAGTACCTGAAGATTCGAAAATCTTTATTAGATACTATTCTTTCGGGAATTTTCCGATTAATTAGCATCTATCTTATAAATCTCACCTGGTATATTCCTCTTCCAGTTGCGCTGGATCGGGTGTATAGAACTTGATGCAGAAGCGCAGCACCGGATCGATGAGTGAGAGGCCCACCTGCCGGTTCATCGGCTTCTCCAGGTCCAGCCAGTATTTGGTATGTGTGGACACCTCCTGATACTCCAGGCCAAAGTAGTCCGCCTCGAGTAAATTTAGCTGACGGCAAACTTGTTCGAAGAGCACACGTCCCAGGGCTTTGGCCTGCAAACCAGAATTAGAGAAATAAATAAAGGGGTTTACTGAGCTGTGCAGTCTAGTTAGACCGTTTAAAATTTTAGCAACAGACAAGACATTTGGCGTCCAAGCAACTTAGGAAGCTGGAAGCTGTGGCCAAGATGCCCGAATTCATTGAGCTCGTTAAAATCTAATTTAGCATGCAGTTGGCGGCTCATCCCAGATGAGGCCACACGCCAAGTGCTTTGTGGGCGTTGCGCCTGATTGCATTTGAATAAATTTCAATTGGGTTGACGGCAGCAATTAAGTTATATAAAACTATGGCCAGACATCGGAGTGGGCATAACACTGTGTAAAATGTTCATCTATTATAAAGCCACTCCCAAATCAAACGTTGCACGAGAACATCCTTGGAGCCTTCGCTTAATTGCTTTTCACAATTAACTAATTAGCCGCGCAAATATTAATGGGCCACATACGGATAACCTATTAGGCAACCTATTACGCATATCACCTATTAAGATACCAATTTCAATTTGCTAATCCCGACTGGCTGTGTGTGGCCGTGCGACTCCTGGAATATATTAATTTGGGATCAAGGCAGGGATTGTTGGCAGATGTTTGCCATTTGGCAAATAAAGGGACTCGCCCAGCGCTGCAACCAATCAGCCAGAGTGCTTTGTCGGTTCGATTTAGCTGGCTGCCCCATAAAAGCGAGCAACAATCTATCAGAGTGTGAAATGGTTGCAAGGCGTGCCAACATCCCATCGAACCCCCTCAGTGTGCGATATTTGAATATTTTATGCTCCGAATTGTGTGTAATCCCCGATCTAAAGCGCAAAAAATTCGTTGGCCGACATCCAAAATGCGTTTGCGGCTTTTTAGCGCATAAATCGAATGGAACTGGGCGTGGCTGGTCAGCATATCAAATAAACATCAAAGGCGTTTGAAACTAGGCGTATGCGACAGTTTTTTCTGCTTACGTTGTAAGTTGTATACAAAAACAAAGGCCTATTTGGGAAACAATGTTAGTCGACAAGCTATATTGCCCAATAGTTTTGACTCTATTGTGGTGTAAGGTGTTAGAAAAAAGCTTAGAGGTAATATTAAGAACGAAAAAGTACAATTTGTTCAGATTTGGCAGGTTAATATTAAATTTTAGAAACATTTGGAAATAACTTTTGTACTGAATTACTTCCAAATACTTGACCCACTGAATCACTGATCTAATTTAAATTCTTTGGTTCCCAATTTCATTTATACTTTTGATTGCTTTTATTCTCTGAACTTTTTTTCCCTTTTCCTTCATTGGACTAAGCGTGGAATGAACATTTATGCTGTATCAATATAGTGCCCAGTAAGCATTAATGGTTTTTTGTCGAATCGTTGTAACTTGATCCTAATAGGAGCTACTCCGAAAGGTAAGGTCAGGAAACAGCTTATTTATACAAGAAACAAAAATAAATAAGCCAACTTTTTAGCTTTAGCTGACTCAATTATTATTGCTTTAAAGTGTTACAAAGTTCACTACATTTGATTTCGTTTTGCTGATTTCTTTTGGTATTAAATATGGTAAATAAATAAATAAATGAGAACTTAAAATTTCTGTAAATATGTAGGACTTTCTTGACTCTGACATGTCATGTTTAGACCGACTGGCTGCTGATCAAAAATGTACGAGTATGTCTCATTTATAGGTTCGGGGATAGGTTTGATCTATTTTTCAAACTAATCAATGGGATTTGATCATAAATCAAGAAAAGAAAATTTAAACTAATCGATATTTGATTGAGCAACAACAATTAAATTTTCCCATTTCCCAACCGACAAAGACCGCTTAGCCATCAGGCACCAATAATTCATTCAATTTGTAGAAATTTATTCTAGACACAAAAACCACTTTGGAGACCAAGCAGAAATGAGAGGAGAATACCAACAGATCGGGGAAATATTCCCCACTAATTGTGAATTACAAATTTATTTGCACAATTTTAAAACCACTCCCGTTTGAATTCCGGGATATTTTAATTAATTTGGCAAACAAGAGCAGGATGGGAGTCGAGATGAATGTGTGTTCCTCCGAGTGTCGCCTGCATTGTCCTTCGTCCTCCGCGACCGCAGCCATTGTTTTCTGTTTTCCCAGCCCGGAGCCACAATGAGGCCGCAGCCACGCCCGAGCTCTGACATTTTCCTGGCTCAGACATACAGGCTCACACGCATATATATGCTGGCCGCTCACTTGGAGCGGGTTGGTCCCTTAGAGTCATTTATCTTTTTAGGCCAATTTTAGGATCTTCTCCAACTACAAAACAACCCAATTAACTTTGGCGACTTCTGCAGGCACCGAGAACGGAAATAGCAAAACGACAGGAAGCTTTTCAATGCAATCACCCCCTCCCTTCTTCACAGCTAGTTAGTATTCACCCACATATAGACAGCCAGATGCGAAAAGTTGGCCCACAATTGTCGGTTGTTCAATTTGTCGCCATCGAGACTGAAGCGGGACAAGGAGCGTCGTTAGCAACTGCATGAAAGCCACTGCAGGCAGGTGCCGCATCTACACTTGCCACAAAAATAAGAGGAAATAAACTATATTTCAAGTACCTCTGTTAATAAAAATATATAAATTTAATAGTCAGATACATTAAAAAAGTTTTTGAACAAAAACGAACTAAAAGGATAAGTAAACGGAATAATCTTATTATACTTGAATTAGAAATATTCCTTATTTATATTATAAGATTATTAAATATAAATATTTATAAATATTTTTTCAGTGGATGCGATGCTCTGACTATTGTAGGCGAGAGGCGGAGAAGGTGGTTTAGAAGGAGGTTACATCTCATCTCGTTCCAATTGCTTTGTCCTTGCCTATCGAATGGCCTTAACTAACCCCATTGATATTCATAGATGCCCAACTACTAACTAGTGCCAAACTTTGAGGGGAGAAAATATGTTCAACAAAGTCTTATTATCTTTAATATTACTAAAATTATATGCCAAGAGCAATAACTCTTTTCATCCACATTTATTTAGCAAAAACGATTGAGTTTGATTTTCTGTAAATGGTTTTTAGCACCCCAAGTCACGTCATTCTATAAAATAATTTGTTCGTTTTCTCAATCTTCAGTTCATTTTTATATCCATTGTTTGCGTCATAGTCTTATACATTTTGAAAAGAGCTTTTATTATTCTGCATTATCAGCAAAACTCGCTAAACTCATCGAGATAAGCCCTCAATATTGTTTGCAGGTCTGGTGAAAATATATTCACTTAGAGAAAAATGGGAATTTGGCAACACTAAAATCAATTTTTGACAAACACAGAAAAGTGGCGTTAAATCTGACTTTCCCAGACTCAAGCTGAAGGATAAACTCGTACGCTCTTTCACAAATTCCATGTAAATATCAAAATAAACTACATGCCTTAATGTCTTGTACTACCTTTATTAACATTAGGAACGTGTTTCTTTTCATAGATATAAACAGTTTCTTAGCAACGTTTATTAAAACCAACTATAATACCACTACGTTCGGCAGCTTTGTGGAAAGTAATAAAATTTATCAAATTTTGACTTAAAAATATATTCTGTAGGCCAGGAGCTGGCCACAAACCACAAGTTCCAACCACATCCTCATCGTCCTCGTGCCGTTCACCTACCTCATTCGCATTCAAAACCATATTACCGCTTACAAGCCACAAAATCCATTAGAAGCCATGATTAATAATGCAGCTGACCGACCGTGCAACAATATTCGTTTCTAGTTAAGGCCAACACACAAACATAAGTCCTGCAGTTGGCAGAACGAATCCAAAGGGGTAGGGCGACACGGGTCCTCTCAAGGCTCGGATTTTTAAAAAATGCAACCATGTCAATATATATAGTATGTTGCATGTGCGCTGTGCTGCACGATAAATTCTGTGCCCAGCGAAAATTGCGACATGATTGAATTTTTAATGCGATAAGAAACGGGGATCTAGTTGATGGGGACATTTGAGTCAGCTGGAAACGAATTTCTAGCATTGTTTTAGTGAAACTATTGACTATAATCTGAAGTATACAGGCATTATCCATATTTATGATATAATATTTAAAGTTAAGTTGAAGCTTAAAGTTATTTATCAAACCTTAAGATACCTTCAGCAATGTCAGTTGAAAGAGCAGATACTTCTTGGTTCGGTCTCATAAAATGTTGAGTTTGCCGTGGGCAAATGGGCAAAAGAGGGAAATGTCGAGCAGAGAATGCGGATAGCGAGTGCCTGAAACTCGCATACAAATAGTTATGTGTCGAGCACTTTGCAACATTTACCGAGCTGGGGCATTGCCTCAAGTACAACTGTTTCACGAAAAGGTTAGGCCAGAAGCCCAACGACGACCAGCCCCAACCCGAGACCAGCAGTCCAAAACCACAGCCCCCAGCCACTCCACCTGCCCCAGCCGAAAACCACCCAAACAATGGCAACCATTTTGATGTTGCCTGAAACATTTCCACTTCTGTTGAAGCCTTTGGAATGTGTCTACCGTTTCAGGGGAATCTGAGGGTTACACTCGGAGACCAATTTCAAGAATTTCAAAAGCATTCACTAAGTTTTTCATCTTTTTCTCAGATAGCGAACTTCTTTATGAGCTAAATGATTTTCATTTTCTAACTCTAGAGTCTAGACTGACTGCAACAAAGAACTTGTGATTGCCACAGTGAATATTCTTTGAGTGTACACATTTGGGCGTGGCCACTTGAACTGCGAAACAAAAATGCCTAAGCCTTTCACTAGGCCTGGCTAATGGAGCCAGGAAGTGGCGCAAGGAACAACGGCAACATGAGCCAACTGCGCAAACTACGACAGAATCCATTAACCAACGTAAAGTGCCTTACAACAGGGCAAAGACGAGTTCGAGTACGAGCCTGGCCAACAAGGAGTGCTCTCACTCGAAGTGAGTCAGAAGTATTTTTGGGAAAATTCAGTTGCATTAATGCGATTTGTGGTCGACAATCAGGCAAATGCAGCAGAAGCTGACAGCACTTCAAAGACCCTTTCCCGAAAACATTGAACAAAAAAATCTAATAACTATGGTCGAAATCTCATTAATTTACTACTTTAACGCCTTTAATACTTGGAGTTTGCTTAATAATAACTTAAAAAACGTTGATACTCATCATAAATAATAAGCAGAGAAACCTCTTTTCTTTTTAGAGGAATTGTGCTAAGAAAAGGTATATTAACTAAGCCAGTTATCTGATATACAAACATCAAAGATTCTATTTCACAACCTGCAGATACCTTTAATGCTGAGAATACTGAGAAAAATTCACTTCTCGAAAAGTCTATGTGGGGCTATTGAAGTGGCCACATTAAACGGGGAGTGGATGGACCAGAGAACGGATGTACTGCATCTGCCGCCATCCCCGGCCCACTTTCCCTGTTGATTTCAACTTGTTTGCCACAGGAAAAACAGCGAAAGAATTTTTCGTTTGCTGGCCTCGTGCCAAACAAACTGTGTGCCACGCCCACCGAAAACCTAAGGCCCTTTGTCGCATAAATCCCAGCCTTCTCCCAGTCGCTCTTCCTCAATTTATCTGCCATTTTTCCGGGTGGTTTCGAGTCCACATTTAATTAAAAGTAGCTTCTCGTATATTTTCCCCATTTTCACGTAAATTCATTTGTTACGTTGCAGTGCTCCACATTCATGTGAAGTTGTGTGCAAATGGAGGTGCATTCATCCAATTTTCATGCTGGGGATTACTTCCGTTTCGACAGGTGCATCCTGAGTAAGATAATTTCAGGGGGGGAAGCAGGAGAATTTATTTCTAATTTAGTTTCATATTCTATATGCCTTTGATGGTTGTGTGTTTTTAGAATCGAGCTTAAAAACGAGTTAGATAAACACGCATTTTCTAGTTAGTAGATGTATTACCAAAGACGTTTACTTTCTTAAAAGTTGATATTTGATAGTCCAGCAGACTTTTGAAGAACCTATTCATTAACCATATTCATTCAGTTATTTTCAGATTTCAGATAACATTGAAAAATGTCAATGTTAAAGCATTACGAGAGTTACCTGTTTATTCCAATTTTAAAATCTTTTATCTTCGTTCCTGTTTATTGTTCATTCAAAATTGACGCTCTTTGAAATTTCCGTTATCATTTAGCAGTAAGAAATAAGAGTAAGTGTAGAGAAATCTCACCTGAACTTGAAACATGGTGATCGAGTCGTCCAGCATCTGAATGCGTACAGTCAGCTTCTTGCCACCGCGATGTCGGGGAGTCGAGGGCGTGCCATCCACTCCAGAAGGTGTGCTCAGAGAGTGCGTCATGCGGCCTCCGGGCAGACCACCGCCCACCGGATGACCTCCACCGCCGCCCGTGGCCAGATCATAGTGTCGTCCGCCTCCGCCGCCACCGGCGGATCGGGTGGCTGTGCCCATGTCGGCCAGGGACATTTTGTAGACGAGAATCTTGCTTACCGCTGGGTCGGGACTTGCTCAAGATGTGGCATAGAACGAGCCGGATAAGTTCCCAGTGGCTGACTTGTGGCTCTGTTGTCTCGGTCGAAGTTTGTGCTAAATGCTATAACTTGGAATGGTACTGGGTTCGATTCGTTTGTCTTCCTAATTGAATTGCTCAGCTGGCTCTGTTTATTTCTTTATTGTCTGTGCGAATGGCTAATTCAATTTCGATTCGTTGCCAGAACAGAAGAACAATAACCGAAAACTGGAAGCTGCAACTCCACACACGCACGAACGCACATATGTTTCACATTTGCCTCAATTTCTTCTCGGGTCTGTCCGTTCCTCTTGAGTTCCTAAGTCCGATCTTGAACGCTTCTGGCATATTTTGGTTTGGCTGAATTTTCCCGCTCGGGTTTTAAGTTTTCTGGTCGCATTAACATTTACAGCATGCATGTGTGGCACTGGGTTTCCTCATCGTAGTTCCTCTGCATTTGGCATTATGTTCCTACAAAGATTGGAGGGAGAGCATCAAGTTAGACATAATCTTAAGTGATTACGAAATGAAAGTGTGGTAATTGTGGGAAGAACCTTAAGTAGAACAATGGGAAATCAATTGAATTGGAAGTTCATTTAATTTTACAGCATTTGCAACTGCTGACCGAGAAGGCCAAGTGCAAAGCAAGAGCCTATTTACTTTGCACGTTATTTAATATCAAACACAGCCAACTTCTGAGACTATAAACACTGTAAACCTTTCCATTACAATATTTGTATCTACTTCTATGAATCTTGGTAATCATCTTAAATATGCAACGTAGGCGATGGCCGATAAATGGTTTCTGATTTATTGTATTTGAAATAATAAACGAGCAATAGGAGTGGGCGACAATCGCTCTCTTCTCCCCTCAATCAAAAATTAAAGGCACATAAAGCCCGAACAATAACCTAAATAAATGACCGACTGGAAATTATTTAAAACATTTTAAGCTCATGAAAAACCCAAGACCGAACAGAAAGAAACAAAAGTTGAGAAATGGGAGGATGAAATTAGTAGGCCACCTGTGAAAATAAATAAGCTTATCAAAAGCGACCCACGGGGCATAAACAAGAGAAATGTTTCTGGGTGGAAAGGCGGCGAATCAAATGGGACTACTATTCCGCTTCTTGTTTCTCGGGTGCCGCTTGTCTCGGTCGATCGGGTTTGACGGGCCCCGAAAAGCCTACCCACGTGGCCAGCCCACGTACTAAGAGCACAACTCCAAAAAGCTTGGAGTCATCGCCAACCTACATTGGAAAAACACAGATAGAGCGGGAAAGAAGTTAGGCGCCAATTATACTGTGGGCAGGCCTTGGAAGATAGGCAGAAAAAATAATAATAAAATGTGGAAAAATTATGAAGAAACCGCCGTTCGGCAAGAAGCATTTATTTATGTCTCGACTCGTAAATTTGAATGCGAACGTGGCCGGCTGGCTGTCAATTTGCAAGATACAGGATGCCAGCCCCATCCATAAGGTTGAATGGGGCGTGAAATGTGTGAATTTACGATGCGATGCGAGTCCCTCGCATGAATATAGTCAGGTTGAAGGAGACACTATAAAGCATGTGTTGGCATGATAACCAAACTCGGCGGCGTTCAATGAACCGCTGACTTTTCGGACAGCCATTCATGGGCTCTACTAGCTCTACTGCTGCTGCGATAACGAGTGTCTATCTTGAGGGAGTGAAGAAACTCTTTCCCATATATGCACAAGCCATGACCATTGGAACGTAACTAGCAGATATGCTCATCAGATTGCTTTCACAGTTCGTATAAGTCACGTTTGGTCATAAAGAATACGCAGTGCTCCTAAAAGCATTGGTTCACATGCTTCGGCTGGAAATCCTAGTTTTTGAGAACTCCTACTCCTTGCTAATTGTGGAATCCTTAACATGACAGACCAACAGATTATTATTACTATAATATTTATCTTCTAGATCTCCTAATTTGGCTAGACCCACTTGATGAGATTCTTAATCGCGAAACACCTAAAGCGGTCATTGCTCGGACGAAGACACAATATTAATGATCTGCGGATCTGGGCGACTATTGGAAGTTGTCCTGGGAGACAACGACATAGTAACAGCAAGCCGCAGCAGAATGGGGTTGAGGTACCGCTAGGGGAGACACGTTTGGCTTTGACCAAATCCGTTTGGCCAAGTAGCCCCCTATTTATTCCATAACTACTAGGCCTTATACGCTGCATGCCTCTCTGCATTCCGGGGCTCAAATTGGCGAATGATGGGGCACATCTGCTGTAAATCTGTCCGTCTTAATCACTGGCAGCCAAAGTTGAGCGCCGAAGAGTTTGTCGTTTGTCAAGAAAAGTTTAACAAGTTTCTAAGTACAGGAGCTGGAAGTTTCTGCCTCCTGTTCATGTATCTCTCTTGGTTCCTCGTATCTGTATCTATGTAATGCATTGTGCGAGAGTGTGTGACCCAGAAAGTTGTGCTAGCTGGTAACCCATCAAAGTTTTATGACTTTTATATGCTGTCGAGTGACACAAATTCATGGTTTATTAATTAAGTTTCGTTTGCCATTCAAGGTGTGTGGGAGAAGGTCGGGAATGGGGCGTGGCTTAATGTTTAATATTTCAGAAGGAACATAATTTCGCAAATGTATTTTAGAGTTCTGCATTTTTAGTTAACCTTTCTGAATGCCAGACTTATAATGCAAGTATTATACTTTCTAAATAAGACAGAGTAGTTCTAAGAAGCATTCTTCTCATCTAATGAGTACAATTTAGTGTAATAGCACTCTAAAAACAACTTTATAAAGATAAAGAGACATTTTTAAGGAAGGTATTTTAAAAGCATTTAATATAACACATCATTGACAGTCCACTTAAACATTTAGATGAAGTTATCTTCTTAAATAGTCTTGACTCCCTTCTTTTTCATACTGTTTTCATCACTTCATATATATTTACCATGTCAACTTTCAATTTAAGCAATCGCAATCTTGAACTCAATTTTATTGATCTATTTGGTATATGAAAAGCATCTCAATTAAAATGTATCTCCAGCATCTTTCATAATTCCCCGGCGACTGCTGCGCGGAGAAAGAGATGAATCACTCGGAGATTTCTTCGAAAAATAAGACTGGCAAATGAGGAGCAGGTCAAAGCCCGAAGAACAACAATTGCAGCTGGGTGTTTGTATAGTGGCAGAGAAAGAAAAATTGAAACTTCAACGAAAAAATCTTTTTTACATCCCACATGGTAGATGGTAGATGGTACATGGTGCATGGTTGTTCCTCCGATCCCCCCCGCACCTCTTGCATTTTTTTCACGTTCTACAGTGGGTTAAAAATAAAATGCACACACACAGAATTGATGTGCGGGTATGTGCGTATAAAAGGATGCACTCCGCTTGTCTGTCAGTCAGGCGGTTTCTGATGTAGTTCTTGCTACTGCCAGCAAGTCAGTGCGTTTCAAAGTCAACTCTTTTTAGGCGTCGGCACAGCCTTTAGTGCAGTTCATTAAAATATTTATTTAAAGTCCCCCACCTCACGCTCACCCATACCCATACCCCCGGCCAGTTGCTCTTTTATATGACTCGGCTCTTTGTTTATTTCACTGTATACAGCCTTTCTTTATGGCACACACTCGGAGGTGTAGGGGCATGTACGGGTATGAGTGGAAAGAGATATACGGAGGGACATGTGTGTGGCAAATTTTTGCCTCAGCCAACCCTTCGACGCCGGCTTTTCTACTTGTCAGCAGATAATATTCCTTAGAATCTTCAGAACTGCTTAATTGCTATCTCGGCTCGAAGGGTAGAATCCGTTGTTCGATACAGGGCTCGTTGGGTCTTATTATAATTATTCTGAAGTGGTTATACTAGTTATGTAATTGCTTTTCTTTATAGGCATGCCTAACTAGAAGCCCATTCAATACGTTTTTCTTTGGTCTATCATATCAGCCGCAGAAAACTATTTCCACGAGTACGTAACGTCTGGGACTTAAGCGAATTATTTGCTAATTTGCACCACAAGCCACGAACCACGAACACGAGGAAAATATGAAGGAGAAAGAAAGAAACTTATGAACAACCACAAAAAGCCGCAATAGAAACGGCGAATGTATCTGTGTGGAAATCAATTAGTATTGTCACAGGTAGCTCTCGGATAGCCCGATACCCACAGATATAGTCGCATATAAACAAGACCCGTGCACAGTACGGAGTGGAAAATAAAGCTCGTTGACAAACAAGCCAAGTGACAGCTGGACAAGACTTTGACTGAACAAACAAGTGGCTATGGGTATTGATTAGACAGCCAACCACCCCATGCCACCCCTTTAGCCAACCGAACCTCCTGTGGCAGCAACTTGAACGGAATTTACAACAAATTATGGCAATTTGCTGAACAAAGCTCGATAAAAGCCATCTAGAGATTGCAAAATTCATGTGCACGCAAAAGAAGAAATAAAAGTTCTTGAGGATAGGGTGTTATCTTGACATGGGCCCCTTGAGTTTGTTGTATTCCTACAAAGAATTCTCTACAAAAGATTTTTAGCTATATCTAAGGGAATTTTCACAAATTACACTGTTCTCTAAGAAACGATTTTATTCATCAAGCACTTAAGCTCTTAAGGCAAAATATATCTTAACAATACTGTAGAACTACTTATTTTTATTGAGACTCATTGGTTGTGATTATCTGGAAGCCACTGTACCGGTGCTCAAGCACATTAATTTATATGCAGCACATGACGAGCGGTGACACCAGATACATTTTGATTTTTCTGGATGCTCAAAACGGAAATGGAAATGGTTTTACGCTTTGACCAAAGCCAGAAAACCTGCTAACGAGTGTAAATCACTGCCGAGACAACAAATTTCAATTAAACCACCGAAAAACAAAGGAGAACAAGGGTGGATCCGAGTGCATCGTGTTCCGACCACTCTCATTTCGTTATTTGTTCTCCGCTTTTCCCCGGCATACATGGGACGGAAAAACACAGAAAGCTAACAAAGCGAATTGAGATCGCAAATAAAATATGTATAGGCTGTGAGCATGGCTGTGTGGCATGGAAGTTGGCCGGCAACTTAATTTAGCCGGGCCCAATGCGGCTGTCAGCGCACTTTGTACGTTGTATCTGTGTATCTCTGCGATTCAGCGACAGACAGTCTGTCCAATGTCCACTGTTGACCCATTTCATCTGCACGATTAACTCGTTCTCTCTTAGTCAACAAGACAAGTCGAGTTTGGTTCCTACTTCAGCTTCTATTTTCCTCTTGGCTTCCAATTTAAACCCTGTATCCGTGAGATGGCTTCGGCATTTGCCATATTTAGAAAGAGATATCGCGGGCATGCGAAATCTAAGAGAAACCCCAAATGGCTTTAAATAATAATTGAGAATTTTATGTGACTATCGCCAGCATATTTGTTCATAGAACCAGTTTCGAACGAGATACTTAACTTCGTTCGTTTATTTACAATTTACATTTTTAAAATATT